AAGGTTGGCAGTTTGAATTCAGGGAGTGGGGTGAGCTCCCGCTGTTAGGCCCAGCTTCTGCCAACCTAGCAGTTCAAAAACATGCAAATATGAGTAGACCAATACGTACTGCTTTGGCAGGAAGGTAACTGCCCCGTGCATTCATGCTGGACACATAACCTTGGAGGCATCTGTGGACAATGCCGGCTCTTCGGCTTTCAAATGGAGATGAGCAACACCCCCCAGAGTCAAACATAACTAAACTTAATGTCAAGGGGAAACCTTTACCATAGCAGGAGGAAACACATCAATGATGTTATGCATTGGGGAAAGAAATCTGGGCTTTACTTCTACCCCCTCTCCCTTTACCAAGCTTTAACAAATTCATTCCAGATCTATGACCTGGAATTTGATAATCATTGTGCTTTCTCTGCTATTCAAGGTATAAAATTAATATAGATATTTATTTATTTATTTGCCATACTTGTGCCCTGCCCTTCTCTACCCAGACAGGTGACTCAAGGTGGCTTAGATATCACATACAGACACTATATCTCCCAAAGTTGTTCTTTGAGAGAAAAAGTAATGTTGGAAGCTGTAAAGCATTTTATGAGATGTCTGTAGGAACTACTATTTATGTATACTAAGCATCACTTAAGAAGACATCCCTTGCCACAACAAATGTATGATCAGAAAAAGGATGAGCAGCATATGACCTTAAGTCTTTAGGCCTGTCTTACAGGAGGATGCTAATCCTTACTTTTTCTGGATCTCACAGCTGTAGAGGAAAGGCTATTCATACAGTAACCAAAAAGCTGAAACTGAAAGGCAAGGTAGAAACATACGATAGTTTCATCTCTTCAGCTGCAACACTATTGTATATTTGTGTGAGATTTTGTTTTAAAAAGGTAGCAATTTTGGGACTTAAAAAAAACAGAAAAGGTGCAACAGAAAATGTCCATAGTCAAAATCTGATGGATTACACAGCACATAAACTACATAATTGTTGTTTCAAGAAATAATAACCATTGTTGGTTTGGATCATTCAGAACTAAGTTGGACTGATAGATTGAAATAAGGATGGAGCTATCTATCTATCTATCTATCTATCTATCTATCTATCTATCTATCTATCTATCTACCTACCTACTTATTTACAGTATTTATATTCCACCCTTCTCACCCCAACACAGAGGCAGTTTAACATTCCAGCTTTCTTGCTTCATGAGGGTATGCTCGTTTCTGGCCACAGGGGGAGCTGCCGCTTCACCGTCCACTTATGACATCAAGTCCTTGATGGAGAACTTCCTCATTCTTACACACACTGCTAAAAGTTTCTATGGTGTCGTAAATTACTTAAATTAACCTCCCTGCATAAAGCGGTGCCTAAATTTCCTACTTGACAGATGCAACTGTTTTTTGGGCTGCATAGGTCAACAGCAAGTTAGACTAATATTGGTCAGGAGCTCACTCTGACCCGGTCTGGCTTCAAACTCATGACCTTTCAGTCAGTAGTGATTTAATGCAACTGGCTACTAACTAGCTGTGCCACAGCCCAGTCAATAACTAGTTGTCAAGACGGACACACACTTCCGTGGGCTTTTTATAGTTTTTATAGTTGTATAGTTGGTAAAGAGCTCAAACAGAAGGATGTGACCATGTCTGATGTCTTTTGAGGGATTCTTATAGGTACTTGACTGGCCACTACAAGACCAGAAAGCCAGACTAGATAGGCCTTTTGTCTGATCCAGGATGACTCTTCTTACTCCTCTACTGTTGTTCTTGCTGAATGCCATCAAGTTGGCTCAAACTTATAGCAACTCCATAATAGCGTTTTCTTGGTATGATTTTTTCAAGTTTGTGATTGCTTTCCTGTAGGACTGAGAGTGTTTGACCCAGTGTATTTCCATTGCTACGCAGAGGTTCAAACCATGGTCTCTCATAAGTCTAGATCAATACTCAAGCCACTACCTCACAGTATCTTTTATGCTCTTAGTCACTATATGAATTACTACAAGTAGGCAAATTAGTAATGCTCCTCAATATGTTCAGAAACTGAACACATTATCAGCCAGTTATATAAAATGCATCATAAAATACCCAGGTGGATAGGAAAATAAATCTTTGTTAGATTTCTTTCAGCTCAGTTAGCCTTCAAAATCTTCTCTGCCCCCTCCTTGTCCCATTATAATATATACTGTGACTATGTTATTCAGAAGCACCAGATATTGCATTATGAGATTATCTCCTGCCAACAAGCAAGATATCTTGGGCAGGCCAAGGGCAGGAGTCAGCATATCAACCATGTTATTAGTGTGCACACCCAAAGCAAGACCTAATGTTTTTCGGGATAACAATTATCTCGTAGCTTTCAGGAACTTGACTGAGCAGTTTTGGGCTCTAAATTGCTAGCTTTCTCTTTAAAAAACCCTATACATTTTCATACAATGCATGTTTTGTACTTTATGTATAAAATGTCAACACTCAAGCTTTTATTTGCTGTTCTAAGGATGGTATACAAAATCAGAATTGCTTCTCCCAGTTATACCAGGGCAGATTAGGCAGCCATGCGGGTGAGTCAAGGTTCCAAGTGGTTCTGACTCATACCCTGACTATATTTCTGTCATCTATGGCTAACAAGCTGGAGAAGGCAACTGGAATATAAAGAAATGAAAGCAGAACATTTGTCATTCTGGGGGAAATGATGAAGAAACACGTGGGCCTTTATGTCAAGGCAAGAATCTCCTTAAGAGATTGAGAACATTTTTGACTGGTATGCCTTTTCTTCACCTAGGTGTAGGTGGACATTCAGGTAGGAAGAGCAGGGTTTGGCAATGCTTTGGGGAAACCACACAGCTCAATTCTGCTTGATCTCAACTTTCAGTCCTAAATATGGTGACAAAAAATGCTATGGTGCTGGTTGCCATGCCTCTTCCTGATTCCTGAAGACTGCTTCTTTTTTTAAGGACAGTGGTTGGTGGAGTCACTGTATCAGGCCAAGTCACGTGGCTCTCTCAGCTGTGTGTAAAATATCTAGTGTTCCATGGATAATCATAGAGTTGGAAGAGACCTCGTGGGCCATCCAGTCCAACCCCCTGCCAAGAATCAGGAAAATCACATTCAAAGCACCCCCAACAGATGGCCATCCAGCCTCTGTTTAAAAGCCTCCAAAGAAGGAACCTCCACCATACTCCAGGGCAGAGTTCCACTGCTGAACAGCTCTCACAGTTAGGAAGTTCTTCCTAATGTTCAGATGGAATCTCCTTTCTTGTAGTTTGAAGCCATTGCTCCGCATCCTAGTCTCCAGGGCAGAAGAAAACAAGCTTGCTCCCTCCTATGATTTACACACGGCTATCATGTCACCTCTCAACCTTCTCTTCTTCAGGCTAAACATGCCTAGCTCTTTAAGCCACTCCTCATAGGGCTTGTTCTCCAGACCCTTGATCATTTTATTCGCTCTCCTCTGGGCACCTTCCAGCTTATCAAAATCTCCCTTCAATTGTGGTGCCCAGAATTGGATACAGTATTCCATGTGTGGTCTGACCAAGGCACAAGCGAGGAGTAGCATGACTTCCCTGGATCTAGACACTATACTCCCATTGATGCAGGCCAAAATCCTGTTGGCTTTTTTTTCTTTTCTGTTGCATCACATTGTTGGCTCATGTTTAACTTGTTGTCCACGAGGACTCCAAGCTCTTTTCCACATTTACTGCTCTCGAGCCAGGCGTCCCCGATTCTGTATCTTTGCTTTTCATTTTTTCTGCCTAGGTGGAGTATCTTGTATATATCACTGTTGAACTTGAGAGGGTAGAAGCAATATCAAGTCACACATTTGAAAGACATCAATAAAATATAGCATATTGACTGGCATAAAAGTTGAGTTAAGCAGCTTAGAGGTTACTCCAATAGTTCCAATAATTAATGTAAACCAGTGGTTACCAAACTGTGGTCTATGGACCACCAATGGTCCACAAGAACTAAAATATGGTCTGCAGCCTCACTATTACTAAACTGTTGCAACAAAAGCGACTGGTCTCACAAAATCCTCTTATAGTGCCAAGGCTTATTAAATATGGTTTTCTATGGGTGAGCAAATGTGACTACTGGATGACATAGGTTTTGTATCAGTAACTAGAGCTGATGTGGTCTATCCAATGCAATTTTTCTGAATCAGCACCCCAAATAACCAAATTGAATCTAAAGTTGACCAAAACCTGATTCGTAACCCTTTTGGTACTAATGTTGGGGAGTGGTCCCTGGTCAAAGTGGTCCCTGGTCAAAAAAAGGTTGGGAACCACTGGCGTAAACAAGACCATCAAGGTGGGGTGGGATAACATTTTAATTCGTTATCTTATTTCCATCCTTACTAGATTTTTTTCACTCTGAGGTTGGGTGTGGCAATGAGCAGTAGAATGACAACCAGCAAAAAACAAGATGTAGGAAGGAGAGAGATGAAGCCTACGGTGCACTACCTCATAATGCAGAAGCACGCATGAGAAAGAAAAGGAGAGGAGAAAGAGTAGATGAGAAATGTAAGGAGACAAAGAGATAGATGGAGGAAAGGCATGAGACAATTCTATGTGGGAGTGTTAGGAATGTGTGGACAAGGCAAAAACAAAATAGTAGTTGGACAGAAAGAAATGGAGACAAGAAAGACACTGAAGTGAGGGAGAGTGGAAAAATTAGAGGAAACAGAGTGAAGTACAGTGTGTGGATTATGGACTATGCTTTGCTCATCCGTTAATCCATGAAGCATCAGATTTTACACCACAGAAATGCAGTATATGGCTACATCGGTGAAAGCAATAATCTGAATAGGAGGGATGTAGAAAAAGCAATGCAAGATTGTTGCTCTCTCATGTGTATACTTTACGTCCCACCATAGTTCTCCTAGTCTCCTTAGATATTATTGTGCAAAATATCAATACTTCATGATGTCTTTGTATCTAGGAAATAAATATTTTGTGTTATGCCTGGTTCTAAAGAAACCAACACATTAAGCTTAAAGAAAACCAAAGATATCAAGGAAGCGATAAATATTTTATTATTTCTTGAACTCTATCAAAAGACATAAACTAATCTCAACAGGATAGTTAAAAGATATGTTTATGTTTATCAAAAATATTATAGAGACAAAATACTAGTAAGACTTGAGACACTGAAGATTAGGTAGCACATGAAATTCAGAAAGTGTGTACTCTCAGAAATGAGGCACAATTAGATAATGTTATATTGTTGTTTGGCAACTACTTTCACATAACCTCGAGGAACAAAACTTTCAGCTGTTTGTCCTCTTCTACTTATACAAACACACATATCAAGTTCTCAAATAAAACTTTGATCCAAAATGTGTTTATAGACAAATATTTCTTCCATACCTAATTTACAAAGAAAAATAAATCAGCTATCTGAAGAGGTAGTAGAAAATACTCTGGACCCACATAAAAATAATCAATACCAGAATCCTGAAATTTGAAAAAACCATAGAAAGGTATGGCAAAAAAGAGGACTGTTGGACTTGAAGTAAGAAACATTAAGTCAGTTTTATTAAAGCAGATAACATTCTTCTGTCTTTATTTCTTCAAATGTAGTGCAAACAAACATTTTTTCATCTTCATTAAGGGAAATGATACACGTTTAGAGCACCGAAATATCCTCAGTCATCGCTGTCACTTCCAGTTTCACTCAACTGAAGATCATTCCCTAAAATTAAACAATGAATCACATCATTAATTCAAATATTTTTCTCCATAAAACACTAGTTTTCCCTACTGTATAAATCTATTTATTTCAAGCATGAAATAAATAGATTTAAGCAGTATTTAACACGAGAGATGTAAGTTAAGAGCAAAACACACATTTTCCTTATGTTCCTTAACAGAACAAACAGCTAATGGGAATAGTTTTCATTGGAAAATTGTACAGGATGTTTGTATAAAAATGTTCAATATCTAGCCCTGCCCCAGCAGCTGCCTGAAAAATTTCTTTATTTCCAACATTTCTACCCCGTCCTACTCAACCCCCGAAGGGGGACTCAGGGCAGCTTACAACGGCAGCAATTCGATGCCAACAACATACAACACATTGCATACAACATATATAAAAGATAAAACATTAGATTAAAATACATTTAAACCATTATCATGTAGTTAAATCAAAGTCTGATTTAAAGTTAAGAGACAGAACCATAGAATCATTGAAAGAGACCTTGTGGGCCATCCAGTCCAACCTCCGGCGAAGAAGCAGGAAAATCACAGACTGTTTTTAAATGATTATGTGTTTATGTTTCAGTAATTCTCTAACCCGCCTCGAGCCATGAGGAGAGGTGGGCAAGAAATAAAACTATATTATTATTATTATTATTATTATTATTATACTAACAAAAAACATGGTATGTCACAGCAAACAAGATATATATGCTGGATTTCGTATAAAAAAATCACAAGTCAAACACTTCCCAAGCATTGAGGACTGTGTGATGTATTTTCGAATGATGCGCGCAGATCCAAGTAAGGTGACCTTTTACAGTTGACAGATCATGATTTTGCCAAAGTTTATTGTTTCCAAATGGCAGCTGACCATTGGGACCATCTGTATTGGTTTATGCTAGAGCCTTTGCAGTTCGATTTTGAGGTCCTGATAACGGTTGAGTGTTTCCTGTTGTTTTTCTCAATGCGACTGTCACCTGGTATGGCAAAATCAATAATCCCAATTTTTTTCTTTTCCACAATTGTGATGTTTGGTGTATTGTGTTCCAAAACTTTGTCAGTCTGGATTTCTGTTCATTTTCTGCTACCTTTGCATGTTTATGATCCCACCAGTTCTTTACTACTGGCAGGCGGTACTTGTGACATAAGTTCCAATGAATCATTTGCGCCACAGAGTTGTTATTATCATCATTATTTAGTCTATAAGGCAGTAGTTCTCAGCCTGCGAGTCCCCAGATGTTTTGGCCTTCAACTCCCAGAAATCATAACAGCTGGTAAACTGGCTGGAATTTCTGGGAGTTGTAGGCCAAACCACCCAGGGACCTACAGATTGAGACTCACTGCTATAAGGTATCATGTGAATGGGTTGCTGTGAGTTTTCCAGGTTGTATGGCCATGTTCCAGAAACATTATCTCCTGACGTTTCACCCATATATATGCCAGCCATCCTCAGAGGTTGTGAGGTTTGTTAGATACTAGGCAAGTGAGGTTTATATATCTGTATAACAGACCTCCCACCCTCTGAGGATGCCTGCCACAGATGTGGGCAAAACATCAGGAAAGAATGCTTCTGGAACATCGCCATACAGCCCAAAAAACTCACAGCAACCCAGTGATTCTGGCCATGAAAGCCTCTGACAACATATGAGAATCTTTGCTATTTATTTTTCAATGTATGTTACCCACTTATAGTAACATTAACTGCCAGTGAAATGACACAAAGGTACATAAAACACCCTCTTTGGATGGTTTTGGATAATAGCTGTGGTTGGTTAGCTATGTAATACATCCACCTATGACCTGCCATCACGTCTTCAAAATAGTCAGGACAAATCCCTGCTCCTCTCCCTAGCTCCACTTTCTTCCACTCATGGATCTAAGAGTCACCACCAAACTGCAGGCACAATTTTTCTACACCTTTAAAGATGCAAGGTAGACTAAGATTCATTACACTTAAGCAATAGCAGTGACGGACTTATGGCAAGTGAAAATATGGAATCCAGTCTCTCTTCCCAATACGGGCCCTTCCAAGTGTTTTGGGGCCTACCATTTCCCATCAGACCAAGCCAACATGGACAATGGTCAGGAATTCAAGCGCTGCAGTCTAGACTATTTAGAGGGCATGAGGTTGATGAAAGGCTGCTGTACATAATCCAGTTCTATTCCTGAAGGAAAGCAGTTCATACTCCACAAATAGATCAAGCATTTTACTGAAAGCTACACCATATTGTACAGAAAGGAGCTGCTTTTGAGAAGTCTGAATCCTTTCAGAACAAATTACTGATTTTAATCTTAGTGTATACAATTCAGACGCTGCCAGTCCCATCTATGGCATCTTGTAAATTATATAAGCTACAATTTAGCATCGTCAGTGGTTAAAGTACCTTTTATCTTAGCTTCTAATCTCAACCTCTGGAGGTCCAGCCTTTTCCACGCAGACGTGGTTTAAGCTAAACTCGTGTGGTTTCCTTTTACATTCCTTACAGTTGGCTCTAACATGCTGCTCTGCTTCCTCTACTTACGGAGGGTGTTCATGAAGTGGCCACTGCCCTCTTGGCTCCTTTGATATCCAGCATCAATATCCGGGAAGCCCTGTTGTGATGCCATCATTGTGGGAGGCTGTGCGTGACGGTGTGACATTGGCAAGGGAAAGGATGGCTTTGCTCCTTCATCTTCTGAATCACTGGAACTATTGTCACTGTTTGATGATGAGGATGAACTTTTTGATTCAGAAGAACTGCCAGAGGAACTCATTTCCTCTATAATTTTAGCTTCTGCCTTTAGCTCTGAAAGTAAGAAGGATGTTAGATTAAGACATCATTCACCATCTTTATTCCTTTACATTCACAGTATTCAGTTTTCAGAACCTAAGTAAGTATAGGAGAGTGAACAGTATGCCAAGACAGGCTTTGTACATCAATGTAGTTAGACCAGTGTTTCTCAACCTGTGTGTCACAGGGAGGGGGGTCAGAGGGGTCATCAAAGACCATCAGGAAACACAGTATTTTTTGTTGGTCATGGGGTTTTGTGTGGGAAGTCTGGCCCAATATATTGTTGGTGAGGTTCAGGCTGTTCTTTGATTGTAGGTGAACCATAAATCCAAGAAGCTACACCTCCCAAATGTCAAGGTCTATTTTCTCCAAAACCCCACCAGTGTTCACATTTGGGTACATTGAGTATTCATGCCAAGTTTGGTCCAGATCCATTATTCTTTGAGTCCACAGTGCTCTCTGGATATAGGTAAACTACAACTCCAAAACTCAAGATCAAGGCCCACCAAACCCTTCCAGTATTTTCGGTTGGTCATGGGAGTTCTGAGTGCCAAGTTTGGTTCAATTCAATCGTTGATGGAGTTCAGAATGCTCTTTGATTATAAGTTAAATATAAATGACATCAACTGCAACTCCCAAATAACAAAATCAATCCTCCCCAACCCTTACCAGTATTCAAATTTGGACATGTCGGATATTTGTGCCAAATTTAGTCCAGTGAATGAAAATACATCCTGCATATCAGATATTTACATTACAATTCGTAACAGTAGCAAAATTATAGTTATGAAGTAGCAACAAAATAATTTTATGGCTGGGGGTCACCACAACATAAAGAACTGTATTAAGGGATTGTGGCATTAAGAAGGTTGAGAACCACTGGGTTAGACTCAATAGATTTGGAATGAATATCCCTGTTCAAATCATTTTTATGTAACAAAAACCAAAGAAGCACTACAAAAATGTCCAGGTACATAAGAATGAGCTCGATTTCTACCCCCTAGTCCTTGGACACTATATAAGAGTAGTCTTTCTATGATGCTGACAGCAGTGGAAGAAAAAAAACTGCCAGGCCTCCCAAACTCCTACGTCAGAATGTCCTTCAGCCAACTAGTATTGTTCCAGCACTAAATTCAATGACTGAGGTCACTGCAGCCACTGTTTTAGTACACTAGTTATCTGCATGGGCAAGGTAACATGATAGCTGGAACACTGAACATAAATAAATTTTGCATACATTGTCATCACCAAGTTTTCAAGCTATTGCCATGGCCAGCAACAACCACTGTATGACTGGCAAGGGAAGGGCACCTTTCATATGCAGCTCATTCTATGACATCAAACAAGAAAACTAGCTTAGCCTGACTGAAACGACTGGTTGTCACAAGTTGAAACACGGGTGCATTCATATGATTATTAATACTTAACATCTCTCAAGACTGGTTTTGTAGATCCCTTGCATCCTCCATGAAAAAAAAATAATTAGATGTAATCACGAGTCATCAAAAGAAGAATAACAGAATTAGATTGTAATTACTGCTTTGAAGAAATGTTGCTAGCTTCATTTCTGAGAACACTGCGGGTATAATGATTCTCATCTTAAAATGTGAACAAGTGGAGACTTGGGACAAAGAGCGCCTATAGATCCCCAGTCCAGATAGAAGCACTACAACTCACTCTTTAGCCAGTTTATGTTGCACAGCCCTTATAAATCCTAAGAGGGAACACTTTTTCATGTTATAAGGAAGTACTGAATAATGAGATCTGAACTGCAGAGGACTCTGAATTTTTTCAAAACATGAGGATTTTTTCCCATTTTGGAGCAACTTGAGAAACTGCAAGTCGTTTCTGGTGTGAGAGAATTGTCCGTCTGCAAGGACGTTGCCCAGGGAATGCTCAGATGTTTTGATGTTTTACCATCCTTGTGGGAGGCTTCTCTTATGCCCCCACATGGGGAGCTGGAGCTGACAGAGGAAGCTCATCCACACTCTCCCTGGATTCGAAGCTCTGACTTGTCAGTCCTGCCAGCACAAGGGTTTAGCCCATTGAACCACTGGGAGCTCCAGTACCTGAGGTATTGTCCTGACCCTTTACTTCTCAACACAATGATGATGGGGTTGTTATATGGCCCATCCCAACCTACACTGTTATTCAGTCCTTTCAGCCCTATACAGCAGAGAATCAGCAAATACAAAACCATTGCTGTCTTTTTTTGCTAAAGCCTGCTAATGCTTTACAGGGCAATCTCATGTTTCGGTCCAGCTGTGTGTCTTCAACACAAGTGGGACTGCACCAAAGACACAGTATCTGGAGCGAAACACAGAACAATGTTCACCTTACTTGAGAGGATCTTTCCCAGCAGGAAATTATCAGATAACACAAGGCACCCTATATAACAATGGTGACAGAATGTGTGGAAGTTGCGTTGAAATTGTGACTCACTCAATCTTAAAGCAAACCAGCCATGCTTAGAAAGAAGCATGCTTAAATTTAATGTTCCCTTCAACATCCTCCATGGCATCACCCAATGTTTGCAGGGATCTTTTCCAGAGTTTAGTTACAAATAAACACCTGCACAAGACCCTTTCTTTGGCACTGTGTGTTCAAGGACTCTGCCTCAAAAGGGATATCCTACCTAGCAATAAACCAAGTGGCCACCTGCCAATGTTAATTCATTCCCTGCTGGCTGCCCTGGCTTTTAACAAGAAGCTTATTATGCCTGAATTAACACAATATGACATTCCTACCATTATTAAAGTCTAAGAGGGGGATATATGGCGTTTCAAGCCATCAAAAGGTTTTTTAATTCTGCATCTACTCATTGTGGCACAGATTGTGTGTAAAACGAAGTATTATCCTAAAGGTTTTCCTTATTTAACATACTTAATTCTAAAAAAAGACTATACATAGCAAGGCATCTGTCAGATAAAAGTTGTATAAAAGACACAAGGAACATTCTCAAATAGTATTTGGTTTATGGTCAAACAAAACCTTGCTGCAGTTTTTACTGCAGAGGAAATTTGAACACATGGCTAATGTCTGATTTAAACACCATTCTGCAGAGATATGGAGTCTCCATTCAAAATCTTCATTTTTATGATAGGAAAACGAGATCATTATCCAAGTGGGAAAATATGTGGTAACTGCAGGAGGTCCCACTTTTACCACGATATCCACAGTGCTGGGGAGAGGGGGAAAAGGAAGAGTCATGCCCCAGAAGCCTTCAGGTTGCAAAATTGGCAGTTTCAGGGCTAATATTTTGGTCCCAATTCAGGTCTGGTTCCAAAAGTTGCCCCCTGCCTATGAAAAAGGACACGTACAGCTCATTGAGGTCTGGGTGTGCATACAGCTAGGCAGATGTAGACTTAAGACCTTTATCTGCTGCTCACTATTGGGGTATTAGGGTATTATGAAGGATAATATTTTAATATTATCCTTCATATTCTTTTTCTTTTCTTTTCTTAATATGGAGCCCCGGTGGTGCAGTGTGTTAAACCACTGATCTGCTGAACTTGCTGATTGAAAAGTTGGCGGTTCGAATTTGGGAAGTGGCTGAGCTCCTGCTGTTAGGCCCAGCATCTGCCAACCTAGCAGTTCAAAAACATGAAAGTGTGAGTAGATCAATAGGTGGGAAGGTAACAGTGCTCTATGCAGTCACGCCGGCCACATGACCTTGAAAGCATCTACAGACAATGCCGACTCTTCAGCATAGAAATTGAGATGAGCACCATTCCTCTGAGTTGGACTCGATTAGACATAATGTCAAGGGAAACCTTTACTTTTACTTTTAATCTTAATATTCTGTATGTAATGCAAATGTTATTAAATGTTATTATTATGTATTGTAATTCATAATTTTATAATTTCAAGCTTCAAGATTTCTCATTTACAACAACCATGTTGTGGGACGTAGGTAGAACGATAGATAGAATGCAAATTTGTCACTGCATCTTTCTGTTTGTTTGCTTAAAGAAAGTAGATATCCAGGGGGCATTGAGTAATTTTATTGTTGATGAAAAGTAGGCCAAATAAGTTTGAGAACCTCTGATCAAGAACCCTGCTTCTTGAACTGTGAGTCATGATCCCAAATTGAGCCCCCTTAACTCAATATTAGGGTCGCAAAAAAATTGGCAACAGAAAATCTGTTAACAACAGCGTGCAGTGCCTATAGTAGACTCTGCAAAACATGCTTCATATAAACTTCATAAAAAGGGGAAATCAACCAGTTTGGCAAGGCTTGCAGACGCTCCTTTATTATCAGCAAATGTTTGATTTTATACTTTTTTAAAAAACTATATACCCAGGGTTATGTAACAATTACTTAGGCAGAAGTGGGCATGAGTGGAAAAACATTTAAGAAGCCCAACTCTAGAGGATCTGTTGAATTTGGGCAAAATATTGGTAGTGGCAATGTCTGATTTATACGTGTGTGTGACAGAGGTCCCTTCTTCACTGCCATATAATCCAGGTCATCAAAGCAGATAATCCACATTTTCTGCTTTAAATTGGATATAAGTTTAATCCAGTTCAAAGCAGATAATCTGGATTTTGTGTGGCAGTGTAGAAGTGGTCAGAGAGTCTGGAAGAAATGAGGGATCAATTGTCAAGGACAATTTATCCTTTTCAAACCTGCACATTAGGGTTTACTAACAGATATGTTATTTCCATTGCCCTTCCTCTTGATGTAATAGCTGCAAGAAATGGCATTTTCAAAGTCATTAACTTCAAAGATGCTTCATGAAGTGGCTCAAAAAAAGCATTGGTCAAATTGAAATTTCACTAAGGAAATCTATGAACAATTGATTGAGCTTGTAAAGTTGCTCCTCTCAAAAATTTATTGACATAAGAATAGGTCTATAAAGGTTCCCCATTTGCTACCAGCACAGACAACAAATCAACAACCTGCTTTTTAAAATTCAGTTTTAGACTTTTGTCTATTCCATTAACAGCTCTTCAAGTGGTTTCATATATTATCTGCACTGACTGCTATCTAGACACTAAAAGGCAACATATACCAGTTGCCATATAGTTTCCCACTCAACCTCCACACTGTTACTGATCAACTGTGGATTGAGGTGATAAACTAGACCCCCCCCCCTCCGGTGGCGCAGTGGATTAAACCCCTGTGCCGGCAGGACTGAAGACCGACAGGTTGCAGGTTTCAATCCGGGGAGAGGCGGATGAGCTCCCTCTATCAGCTCCAGCTCCTCATGCGGGGAAATGAGAGAAGCCTCCCACAAGGATGCTAAAACATCAAAAAATCATCCAGGTGTCCCCTGGGCAACGTCCTTGCAGACGGCCAATTCTCTCACACCAGAAGCAACTTGCAGTTTCTCAGGTCGCTCCTGACATGACAAAAAACAAAAACAAAAACAAACTAGACCCTAAGGGCCCTTCCACACAGCCCTATATCCCAGAATACCAGAATATCAAGGCAGAAAAACCCACAATATCTGCTTCAAACTTGGTTACCTGAGTCTACACTCAGATAATGTGGGATTTTCTGTCTTGATATTCTGGGAAGAGCCCTGAGTTAGCAGATATTCTCTCTGGGGTATCTAATAGAAACTTGTTACTGGAATGTTTATTGGCAGAAGTTACAAAGGTCTGTGCTGCCAATGTGGAAAAATTAAGATCATTTCTGCTTTCTTCACTCTGATTTTCCTGAAAATGCTCTTTCATATTAGAAGTAGAGGAAATGCACACAGTAGGCCCTTCGGCTATTCCATTGCTGGATGCACACTTCAGCATTTGTGCTTCCATTGATTGAAAAAAACAACCCTTTTTATGCTGAAATTCTGGCCAGGTGTGAAAAGGTTCACCATAATTTTTCCATAATTTAATTTTATTCCTGCTTAAGAAGTCCACTGTCAAATTCAAAGTTCCCTTGAAATATACTGCACTGGAGAATGCAGCCATTTCTTGGTCCATGGCTCTACTCCACTGATTAATAGAATTTAAAGCATGCAGAAGAGATACCATTTATTGCAATCTCACATTTAATTGTCAGTTGGTCAATGTAATGACTAAATGTTCCTCAGGGATAAGTGCAAGGAATTCCATCCAGATGATTTAGTAGAAGCAGCTCCATCAGAGAAAGCTATCCCTCCTCCAGCAGGATGTCATTTGTCTTGAGCTTTATTTATTGTGTAGGATTCAGGAACTAGTCACTTGGAGATTAATTTCCATTACTCAACAAGGTCAAGGAAGGTTTCAAAGGAAGTTGTAACAGAAAACTAATTCCAAAAAGTATTTGGAGCATCATTCTAGCTCTCAGAAAGGTGGTGAGCCAGGTAACAATCACATTGCTCTCCAGATGTTACCAGACTGCAATTCCCAGAATTTTTCACCAGAGGCTATGTTGACAAATGCTGCTACTACTAGCAATCCAAGAAATTCCCACCCCAATAGTAAACCAATACCTGAGCTCTGTAATTTTATTCTACAAGGGAAAAACTCATATTATTAACTAATATAAAAAGACAACAATTCCTCCAACCAGAAATTGAGTAAGTACATAAAGGAGAAGTACATAAAATACTACCTTCACTTAGACCAATTTTTGTTTACATACAAAGGCATGTACACATATAGGTGAAGGCAGAGGCTTTCTAGCTCAATGAACATTAGTGCACTGTTGATTATCTCAAAAACCTCAAGTTATAGAATAATCTTTCAAAGCTCTTCAGAGCCCCTCAAACATCAGCCCCAGTTATAATTTACCTCTTTCAATGTCATCCATGAGAGAAGGGGGAGACATCTTCTCCTTTTGTGGAGAAAATTTAACATTGTTTGGAATCCTATTTGCATTTCTCATTTGTTGCTGCTGCTGCTCGATACGAGACTGGACCTTACTGCTTCCTTCACCTCTGCAAGAAAGTATTTTTATAAAGTTTTACATCAGAGTGTTGTAGTAGTGGCTGTTTTTTTTCTTTGTTTTCACTAGGCAACCGTATTTGGTATTATTATCATTAAAACTACCATCAGCCTTTTGGTTTTTGAACAGAAAAACACATATACTTTACTCATTGTGAAAATGTTAAACAGTAGTCAACCTACCTGGTTTTCTTCACAGTGATATTGCTACTAAGCTTTTCTAATCTACATTCTCCGGTATTATGGTTAATTATCAAGATGCATTCCTTTTGATATGGCTTCTTGGAACCCTTGAAAACGGTTACAGGTGGAGTAGAACCCTATTTTAAAATCAGAAGATAATTACTTCTGCTGTTTCTTAAAAAGAAATTCAAACAGATTAATATGTCACTGTTGCATTTCACAATGCTTTGTTCCAAGAGCTTTTCCTCCCCAGTATTATGAAAGGAATCTCAGGTTACAAAAACGCAATCTTCATATCAAAATGGGTTTACTTGTCATAACAAAACCAATGCTTAAAAAATATTTCAAGGTTGTTTGTAAGATCTTGAAGTCAACCCAGGGGAGGGTTGATTCATTCTCCTAGCTTGTTATTAGTAGAGACTTTCAGCCCAGCTGCTAATTAACATGCTTCCTCAATTAGGGAACAGTCAAAAAGCGAGTCCTTGTTGGCATCAGCAGTCACAAACAACTATGAGCACACACTGAATTATCCCATTCTATTTTTTACCAATACAACATGGCAACAAGGAACTTTCCTACATTGAATGGACTCGAAATTGTCATACAAGCACACACTGTTTCAGTTGCATTTTTGATTAAATGTTTGCACAACTATTTTCTCTTCTTAACACATTGATTATTTCATGAGAATATTTTGGCATCAATGTGTGTTTTAACTAAAAAATCACATCATGGGAACACACTTCCATAGCAGAAAAAACTGTGAACATACTCTACAAGAATACAAATTCTATCAGAAAACTAGAATAAGAGAAGGATGCATTAGAAAGTAGGGGGCATGTCAAACAAACCATGAGGAAAAAAAAAGCTGTCTCCAAGCAACTGCTTGAGTTTTTCAGAAAAACTTGCCAAATATATTATTTTGTCTGTGCAAACATGATATTGGGCCAAAAGTCACAAATGTGCCTGTCTTTTAAAATATTTTTTGGAAATATTTTACATGTAATTCTCTAAAAATACAGTATATGATGCAATGGCATTGTAAATCAAAAACAAAAAAGGTGTTATTAAATATTACAACCCTTTTGTGACTTTTGGTCCACCTTGTACAAACACAAGTTTTTGAATAAACCAGATACTGTGTTTTAAAGGCATTTTTTTGTAAAATTACAGTGAAGCTATTTAGAACCTAAAATATAAACAGAGCCCAAATTATGTACTTTTCATAGTTTAATTCATCCAAGGCACTTTGTTATTAGGATTCATCATTTAACAATTGTCTCAAATTCTTCAACTCTCCTTTAAACAAGAAGTTCATAATGGTTTCAAAAAGGCTGCCATTCTAAGTAGTCAAGAATGGAAACAATAGTAAAGTTTTCCCCTTGGCATTAAGTCTAATCATGCCCGACTCGGTGGGGCATCTCTATTTCTAAGCCGAAGAGCCGGCTTTGTCCATAGACGCCTCCAAGGTTATGTGGCAAGCATAACTGCATGGAGCGCCACTACCTTCCCGCTGGAGCAGTACCTATTGATCTACTCAAATTTGCATATTTTCAAACTGCTAGGTTGGCAGATGCTGAGCCTAACAACGGGAGCTCACCTCACTCCCCAGAGTCAAACCGCCAACCTTTCGGTCAGCAAGTCCAGCAGCTCAGCGGTTTAACCCGCTGCACCACTGGGGGGCTCTATGGAAACAAAGTCTATTTTATTTCATACTTCAAGTATTAAAAATAATTATGATTTAAGACTTAAACTACACCTCTTCTCCCTAGGTATGAAGAAAACTTACCTCAATATTGGGTAAAGTTATTGTCACCTGTTCACCTTTACCAACTTCAAGGTCTCCTTCAGAAGATGTATCAATGGATGCAGGCTTGAAGTCATCTAAGAAAAAAAAAGGAAAACAGACAATGACAATATTTTTCAGGACTTCAACATTGATCAGGTCACAAGAGGGAGGGAAATGCGGGATCTTTCCCCTGGTGTCTTTTCCACTGCTGGCTGATTTGCCATGTTGAACCAAAAGTGCATAGTTTTAGATATGTTAATGTCTATTCTTACTGAATCGTGATTTGATAAATAAATAAATTGAATTAATCTGCTAAATTCAATTAATCTGCCTGAATTAATCTGCTAAAAATAGGATTAATCTGCTAAAAATAGAAGAAACGTCAAGATTAAAGAGAATGGTAGAGAACTACACAATCCACAAACACACACAGTGTGTGTGTGTTTTTAGGGCTAGCCCTCAGATGCTGTACTATAATAACTCATGCCACAGTAAGCTATTGTTAGGATGCCTTTTTAGGTTTATGTGGCACAACCTGTTGTTGGGTAACATCTGGCAATTTCCGGGCATCCTAATGTTCCTTTCCCAAAACCACAGAATATGATAGGTTTCATACCTCACTACTGGTAGTTCCCCATTTAAGTTTGCCAAGTTCTCTTTTCCCTTGTGTTTGATTCTTAGAAGCACTGTAGATTATTGCAAATAATGGAAACCACCAGATGAAAGTGATATTCTCAATGAGATTAACATCAACACAGGGGCTAGTTCCTCCATACTTAAGGTAAAGATAAAGGTTTCCCCTTACATTAAGTCTAGTCGTGTCCGACTCTGGGGGGTGGTGCTCACTTCCATTTCTAAGCCGAAGGGCTGGTGTTGTCTGTAGACACCTCCAAGGTCATGTGGCCAGCATGACTGCATGGAGCACCGTTACCTTCCCGCCGAAGCGGTACCTATTGCTCTACTTACATTTGCATGTTTTCGAATTGCTAGGTTGGCAGAAGCTGGGGCTAACAGTGGGAGCTCACCCTGCTCCCCAGATTCAAATTGCCAGCAAGTTCAGCAGCCCAGCGGTTTAACCTGATATGCCACTGTACTTTCCATACTTTCCTTACAAATATGGGAGTTTTTCAAAATCAATTTACTCCTTCCTCATACTCTCACTGCTTTTGCAAAAAAGAGCAATTTTTGCTCATTCAAATAAATTAAGTAAACACAGATAGAGTCTATAGTTCCCCTTGTACCCAAAATATCTCATTTAAGGACAAATTGCCAATATTCTTCACATTTAAAGACCAGTATTAGATGAATTAATAAAGATGATAAATTGACAAATCTCAAAGAAACTTTCAACAGACCACCAATTATTTTTTGACTTCCACTTATTTAAAAGGAGTAGGAACAAAATGACTACGTTAACAGGGTCATGAATGGTACTCTCGAAATGAAGAAAGCTCAGGGCAAGCAAGATTTTGAACAGATCTCAGGATTCCAGTAATATGCAAAGTGCGTCCTATCTCAAGCATCCGTTGCTCTAGAGTAGTCATGGGTAAACTTTGGCCGGTAGGCTGTCAGGAATTGTGGGAGTTGAAGTCCAAAACACCCAGAGGGCCCATGTTTGCCCATGCCTGCTCTAGACCCAACTATAAGTTCAGCAATATCCTTTTAATGAAGGTGAATTTGGTTAATATTTATGCAAGTGCCACCAATTATGAAGATGTTGATTATTATTATTATTATTATTATTATTATGTATATGCTGCTTTTTCTCTTTTGTGTATTATGTATATACCCCTTTTCTTATAGAATCATAGAATTGGAAGAGAGCACATGGGCCATCCAATTCAACCCCATCCTGCCATGCAAGAACACACAATCCAAGCACCCCTGACAGATGACCATCTAACTTCTGCTTAAAAACTTCCAAATGATGAGGCTCCACTTCCCTGCTTTGAAAAAGATACCAATGTATAGTTGGGATTCACACTTGGATCTAGTCATAAGTCTCACGCTTTATTTTTGGCACCAGTGTCCCCAGCTAACATCTCCGAATAATGGCTGTTATAAAAACTGAACTTGCCACTTCATCAACATGCCACAAGTTTTGCATTTCTATGGTTCTTCACACAAGAAACAATCAGGGCCAGCTAATCACCTCCGAACAAAGGATTCCCCCAGGCAGGAAGCAGCCAAGCTTTGAAGCTGCAAGGCTATTCAATGCTGATCAACTGCAGCTTTCACACTTGCCTCAGACAGACACCCTGGACATTCCACAGATATATAAACCCCACTTGCCTAGTTTCAAGCAGACCTCACAACCTCAGAGGATGCCTGCCATTGATGTGGGTGAAACGTCAGGAGAGACTGCTTCTGGAACATGACCACACAGCCCAGAAAACTCACAGCAACCCAGCTCTTCACATTGTCTGCTCATAAAAGTCACTCTACTCCATGCAACAGGTGACTACAAAAGTTTATGCTTACAATTTATTTCTCCCAATCAGTCTCAAAGGTGACACAAGATCCCTTTGCATACTGATTATGTTAAATAGCTCAAGGTTCCTCCTCTCCCAAAATCTTCTGAACTCTCCTCCCCATTGAAATCCGAAGATCCAGCGCTTTGCTCGACAGTCCTTTCTTTTACCTTCTGCTTCTCACCCTCACTCAATCCAGATTGCAGAATTATAGCAGTTTAACACCACTTCGACTGCTAATGTTCCATCCTATAGAACCCTAGGATTTGGAGTATGGTGACAACCCAGGGAAATCTACACTGTTTCCCAAGCTCTGGGAAGCCAGGTGCTTTGGACTTCAACTCCCAGAATCCCTCATCATTGACCAAGGTAGCTAAGGCTTCTGGGAGTTGAAGTCCAGCATCACTGTGATCAAAGAATTCTGAACACTCCAGCCCTTCTGGACTTCAGATCCCAGAATTCCTGGCCGTCGGAAAAGGTGGCAAAGGCTTCTGGGAAATGAAGTCCCAGACCCTCCTGGCAGCTTGAACGCCGGTCCAGCCTCACTCACAGCGGACGGTGTGGAAGGCACAGCGCGGCTGCCTCTCGAAGCTCTGGCCCAGCCGCAGGACGCGCTCCTTACAGTCAAAGAGCGGCGGGGCCGCCCCGTTCATCCCCCCGCCACACGCAGTCCTGCGCTCTGGTCACTCTCGAAGAGATGCGCTGCCTAGCGCTGCCACAACTGCCCGCCCCGCCTCAGCCAAGCCACACAGCTCATAAAGGCCACGCCCCCTTCCCCTCCTGCCTTCCTTTCATTGGGCGACTGCGCCGACACCACGCCCACCTGGATACGTCCCGCCCCGTTCTGGGGACAAGCGTGACGCAAGAGAACTGTGGCTTTTTTGATTGGTTAGCGACACTGCCACTGTCGCTGAATGAAAGTAAGAAAGGTTGAAACTCCCGGAGCGCGAGAGAATGCTGTTTATGCAAATTAGGGTGGTTTAGGGCGGGGCGACGGGCAGTGGCGTCGCGCTCCGAGGATGGCGGCGCTGCTGATTGGTGGGCCCCTTGTGCCCTCACCATGGTAACTGGCCGTTGGTAGGGAAACCTCACTAGTGTTTCCGGTCGGGAGCGGAAGCGGTTGAGAAGTGGATCAAGAGTGCCTTGATACCTGAAGATAACTTGAGAAGAAACGTTGTTCTTCAGGTCTTCTAAAGGAGTACGGCTTCAACGGTCTTTATTAGTGTTCTGCATCAATACTATAGAATTAATGCAGTTTGACACCACTTTAGCTGCAGCGGCTCAATGCTGTGGAATGAATCCCGCGAATTGCAGCCTGGTGAGGCCCCAGCGCTCTTGAAAGACCTTGTCAAACGAAAACTCCCAGGATTCCAGAGTATTGCGCCTTAGCAGTTCAAGTGGGATCAAACTGCATTAATTCTACAGTGTAGATGCACCTCTTGTGAAGGAGAGGCCTTCAGGCCACCCTTATTATGAGCAAAATGCATCCAGAGATGGCTTTTTCTTTTACCAATCTCTACTCCTTATCAAATTTCCATATCTATGTTTTGCGCTAGCATGTTGGTGTTAACCTAACTTATCTTATCTGCTTCCCCGTTGTCTCTGTTGCATTGTTTTCAAATGCTCAGTATGGGATTCTGGGGCCTGCTGTTTCCTTTGCCTGCTGTAGGTAGGCACAAACAGTTACAATAATCCCATGGAGTATAGAATCCAGCTTTTTCCAAGCTATCACAGCAAAAGTATGATAGCTGGGACCCAATTCTGGTTGCGTGACGAGGGTCAGTTAGAGAAGCGAAGACGTTACATATTTGAACGTGCTTGCATACGATATCCGGATAGCCTTAAGTAGTATGCTTGGCTGTTTGTTGACCTCCCCCCCCCCCTTTCTGGCAAACTATTTTGCCACGACTCTGTCACAGCTGTGTCTCTCACTCGCTGTGCTGTCTTGGCATTGTGTCCCAGCTATCATACTTTCGCCGCTATCACTTTATTATATGTATTTCTGATATTTTGTTGTAACCTGACACTGAAAATGTGTGTCGTTCTCCAGTATATCAGCCTTCCAGTGCTGATGCAGCTAAACAACCTTTCCAGCTAGACAGGATAATGAGAAAAAAGCGAGGTGAATGCGAATTAAAAAGACTGCCAATAAGGGGCATCTTCAACAGAGGCTTTGTTAACTGAGGCCCCTTCCAAACAGTTGAATAAAATCCCACATTATTTGCTTTGAAGTGGGATAAATGGCAGTGTGGACTCAGATAACTCAGTTCAAAGCCAATGCTGTGGGATTTTTTGCCATGATATCCTGGGTTATGTGACTGTGTGGAAGGGTTCTGAGAAACATCTTTAGTACTTCTGCCCTCAACACTCCTTGTAGTCCAACCCCGCTTTCCCCATAACTGTTAATTTGGTGGCCCTTCCACACAGCCATATAACCCAGAATATCAAGACTGAAAACCCCACAATATCTGTTTTGAACTGTGTTATCTGAGTCCACACTGCCATATATCCCAGTTCAAAGCAGATAATGTGGGATTTTATTGAGCTGTGTTGAAGGGGCATAAGAAAGCTCAAATAGGGCAGGTGGTTTAGCATACAAGGAGTTCATACTTACATTTGGCATATCTATTTGCAGAGTCGAACTGGTGGGGAAGGAAGGGTTGCTCTCATGTGTTGAAATAGTTATGGTTATAACATTAAAATAATAAATTGACATGACAAAATATTCTTGTAGTTATAAAAAGCTATTTGTTTCAGTTTTGGAGGCATGAAATTATCTGATGATAATTCTATAAATGATACCTGGTGAATCACAGTATATGAAATTATCTGGAAATGATTTAGGTCTCTTTGTTCTGACTGACAGCTGATCTTAAACTTCTGCATCTTTTATGCGAACCCATTAAACTGAAAATGCTAGGGAATGAATTTGGGACCTCAGATTAGGACATCTGCCATAAAAGTATATTTTCAACTGTAGCTGCGAGTGGGACAACTCCCCCGGCTCACCAATATTATAAAGGTAAAAAGATGAAAGTATCTTTAAGAAAACAGAATTTATGAGATTCTTAATGACATTTATTTGCCTTCAGAACATATCTGGTGTTAATTTTATTAGACACATCATCTAATCCACTAATCTCCAACCGAAGGCAAATATCTTGCTGGTTTTGTCCTCCTTTCTCTTATTAAAATACAGCTGTCCTATGAAATGAAGCCATTACCTGTGGATCCCAGAATATTGTCACTGGCTGCCCAGGTCACCGAAAGCTCAGGTCAGGATGTCCCTGGGCTACTTCTAAAGATAAAAGGTAAGTATTTATTTATTTGCTTAGGAATTGACAATATTCTACTAATCTATCCTAAAATCTCTAGTGCCATATGTCCCTTGGTAATACTGTCACATCTTATGCGGGGGTGGGGGGGGGACATTTTCCCCATTTACATCAAGGTGTAGTCATCTCAACATTAGGCTTTTTCTTTTATAACAAGGTATGCATCTTTCAAAATGAAATTGCTTTTCTGGGAAGCAAGGTCTGGGAACTGAAAATGAAACCCACACTACACATTTTCCATTCCTGTTTTAACTTCAAGACAAATATGTACATGAGACAAATATGTACAAAGCCTCTTATATAACAAATGAACCTGAAATTTATTTCATTTATTTATTTACTTTGTTTTATTTCCCGCCTTTCCCCCTCATTGAGCATCTAACACTAGGCAACAATTTGATGCCGTTCAGATATAATACAGTACTGACTCAAAATACATAAAAATAAAAAAACCACAAAGCTTAAACAACAATACAATTGATAAATTCAAAATTCATTATCACAGTGCTCTATCTGATGACGGTTTTTGAAATAACACCTGTGCTTCTTTGATGTTTTGCTCCAAATTTTATGAGTATGAGTATAAAACTTGATTTGGGGTTAGAAAAACAAGAGAATTTATTAGCATGGAGTAAGTTAGTTCTTCCTATGTCCCTTCCTAATAGAGTAGCTGTAAGAATGATATAGTCATCAAGGACCAAGGTCTTAAACAAAAATCATTTGCAAATAACTAAGTCTATCATATTTGGTCCTTGTCTGTATTGCTGGTGATCAGGCCATATACTACAGGTACATTAATTTTAATACAATGCATTTAATAAGAATAGTCAACCCTGATTGGGAGTTATGTGGGTTTGTTCACAGAACCTATAAGTATTTTCAAGGAAAATAGGTGCAGGATTTAGGGACCAGATGGAGCAACAATGATGCATGTATATGTTTGCTAGATTTCACCTAGGACAAGAGGAGCCCCTGGTGGCGCAATGGGTTAAACCTTTGTGCCAGCAGGACTGCTGACCGACAAGTCAGCGGTTCGAATACAGGGAGCAGGTTGAGGTCCCTGTGTCAGCTCCAGCTCCACCTGTGGGGACACGAGAGAAGTCTCCCACAAGGATGGTAAAACATTAAAACATCCAGGTGTCCCCTGGGCAACATCTTTACAGATGGCCAATTCTCTCACACCAGAAGCGATTTTCAGTTTCTCAAGTCACTCCTGACAGGAAAAAAAAACTAGGACAAGGCTTCTGTTCTCTTTATGTTACCATGGCAAATATTATTCCTATTTAAAAACATTTCATTCTCAAGAGAGACTGAGGAAAAACCACAAAGGCATTATAGTTAGAGGAACTCTGAATTGCTAGAGGACTACTTTCCAGTAAAGGAAGTCTTTGTGGGCAAAGATTGCTAATTCTAGCTGTGCAGAAGAAGGAAGTCTTACCCTCTGATTACCAAAACCCCATTTCAGTATCTGTCTTGTTTTGTGGCTATAATTCATGCTTGTTCAAAGCTTTTTCTGAACCATCTTAATCTTTACTTAGGTGTGCTTCCAGTGCTGCTAAAGTCTTGTCTGTGCCATTATCCTGATTGCTTTGCCTGTCTTACCTTGCCCATCAAATCTAACCTGTAGGTCAAGGCTGGGCAACTTGTAAATGCAAATAATTATTGGATTGCAACTCCCATAAGCTTCCACCATGATAACCGAGGGAAGTTGTAGACCAATAGCATCTGGAGGTCACAGTTTGCCTAATCCAGCTATAAGCACTCTAGGTGTGAGATGCCAACTCGTTCTTCTTGATTTTGTACATCTATTGTTATACCTCAGTATATGATAACAGCTATAGTAATAAGGCAGAAGAGGCAGGAAGTGTGGGACTGTATTATCAGTTCATGTTAACTGTTCGAGAATATGTTTTTAAAGAATGGGTTAAAGTTCTGTGTTATTTTACACTCTATGATTTTTAATAGTTTTAATCTTTTAAATTGTATCTCATTAAGTATAGCTTTGAACTGTTTAAATACTGTGATTAGTTTTATTGTTCACTTTTTGTTTGTCTTTAGTCATGTTGTTCTCTTCAAATTGTATGCTGCCTTGAGTCCCAGTTCATCCACACTAAAATGAACTGGGAGAAAGATGAGTTACAAATAAATATGATGATGGTGGTGGTGATGAAGTGAATGCAGCCTTTATTGTATAAATCAGGAACATGAACGTTTCCATTTGTTTTTATGCCCTAGATATTTTAACAAGTGTTGTCCCTGGAAGTAATGAATTACAAAAAATTAAGCAAGACTTATACTATTATGATCTGGTTCAATACTGCCTATTTGTCCTTAAGCAAGATTATACAGGAGTGTTAGGAGGTTGGACTACTGCTGCCCAGTTAGCAGAGATACTAAGGTAAAGCATCTTGTAGTTATACAGCTTTATTACTGAATCACTTGTAACTTTTCTGTTTTTAAATTTTTGTGTGGCGTGTATGTGTAATCAAGATATGGATGTATTACCTACAAATGCTAAGGGGGGAAAAGTATGCATATGTTTTGTTTTCTCAGCATATGTTGTGTGGGTCTTGAGGTGAAAGAAGAATCTGAGGAATTTTACAATAAGCTGCTTCCATCTGCTGTAGACAACCTTCTCTTCTTAGGAAGGCGCCTGCAGGCACGATTTGTCCGTGCAATCAAGGTATTTCAACTTGCTGTGGGTTTAATGCTCTAAAGTGGAACTGTTTTTAACTCGTGCCTGTTGTTGTTAATCATGGACCAGTGCTGGACAATAAAAGTGTTACTGCACAGATTGAGTTAATAATGTGTTGAACACAATAGAAAAGAGCCAATAGAAATATTTTAAAGATACATATCTGTTTCAATAAGCTTTCATAAATGCAGGCAATTGAATCAGCTCTTTATTTCCAGATATGGGAATGGGGACAGGCCTACAGAACAACATGATTCACTTTAGTTTCAGAAACTGAGTAGTCCATTCATCCATGGCACTAATATGAGTGAGTCTACTCATAATATAGTAATTCTGGCACTCCTCATAGCAATGTGTGTCTGTAAAAGTTGCTGGACACATATGTTGGTAGATCACATCAGAGATATCCAGTGATTGGTTTGCAAAACTGCTAATTTTGAGAAATTTGGAAACTGCTAATTTTGAGAGCATTTCAAGGTATACCTACTTAGTTTCTGATGTGACTCATCAACTAACCCAACTGTAGCTTTTACTTTCTCATAACAGGGACAAAACCTTAAATGTCATGGAACAAGATGAGGCCTTGGCAACCTTTTTTGTATTGTGAGCTTCTCTCCCGGCGGTCTATATGTTAAGCTGACACACAAAACCAAACTTCCTTGTTTCTCTCCTTCTCTCTGTACTTCCCTTCCATCCTCTTTGCCCAGTGGATTGGCGGGAGGTGGACAGATCATTCTAGGGCACTGGTTCTCAACCTGTGGGTCCTCATATATTTTGGTTTCAACTCCCAGAAATCCTAACAGCTGGTTAACTTGCTGGGATTTCTGGGAGTTGTAGGTCAGAACACCTGAAGACCCACAGGTTGAGAACCACAGCTCTAGGGGTTTGAAGTGATTGTTTACAAAGAGATTTTGATCAGTATGTAGTGCTAGGCCACAGACTGCCTACTACTAATAGTCCATGTTTTGCTGAAACATGTGAAAAGGAACAGAGTGAAATTTCAAAAACCGAGCCTTGATTTATTGTTCTCTTGCTGTCTTATAAAGCCCTGCTGGTATATGACCAGCCCTAGAGCGAACCTCAATATAGCCAGTCTCTGAGTTACTGACATCTGACTTACAAATGATTCATAGTTAAGAATGAGGATGAGACAACAGGAAGTAAGAGAAATCTACCCTCAGAAGGGAAATTCATTCCTGAAAGAGTTATCATGGAGAAAAGGTGTCTCCACTGAAACTTTATCACCAATCCATGTTTCCACAACAAGCTACATTTTTCAAAATTCAGTTAACACAGGGACATAAAGTTAGGTGAAATCTTCTGAACAGGGTCACAGACAGATAACCCTTCCCTATGTTATCCAAAGGTAAAAGATTTGGCTGGAGTTACACTTGAAAATGTACCTATTCTGACTTACAAACAAGTTCAGCTTAAGAACAAACCTACAGAACCTATCTTATTTGTAACTTGGGGACTGCCTGTATTATCCACTGTTGCAGATAAGGATGTGGGCAAGAAGGTTGCATCTAAGGAGTAGAAAGAAATAATTTTGAGACTATCCACTAATTTACGGGCAAGTATTAGATTTAACCACCTCCACATGCAGTTATGCTGGCATGTAGTAGTAGAACCTTAACAAGAATAGGACTCCAATTTCCACTCCATCATTCTATCCCATCTCTTCCTAGCTTCCCCTTTGCATAGCCATAATGTTATGGTTCATCATGAGAGAAGGTGTGAAAATGACATATCTTGTTCAGCAAATATATTAAGTAGCAAGGTCTTGAATTTGGTATTAAGGCGCACATTGCAGGGATAGTAACTGTAAAGTGAGAGGCAGGGGAGGAAGAAATAAGTTTCTTATTAATCATTTATTTTTTGAAGGATGAAGAACGGAGGGAATTTTCACATAATTTCAAGACTGTAATGGATGCCCTATACAGGTTGTGTGAGGGGCATGTTCAACTGACAGCAAAAGGTGAGGGAAAAGAGGTCTTGAAGGCCATCACTTACTTAAAAATTGAGGAGGGTGAGTATTCTGATCAAATATTTTGTGTTATGTGATTTACTTCATGGGTGCATCTACACTTTAGAAATAATGCATTTGACACCATTTTAATTTTCATGGCTCAGTGCTGTGGAATCAAGGGAGTTTTGTAAAGTCTTTAGACTTTTCTGCCAGAGAGCTGGTGTTTCACCAAACTAAAAATCCCTCAACTCCATAGTGGTGCAAAACGGCATTAAATCTACAGTGTAGATGCACCCTTAGATATCTTTTTTAAAAAAAATCTTTAGTCGAAATTACAACATATTCAGGAATATTGCTTCCCTTGTTTGAATTACTTTTCTTGTTTTGCTCTTAGTGCTTCAGAATGAACAGTTTCAGCAACTGTTAATAACTGATGACATCGAAATCTCAACTGTTATTATGTCTGTGTTGGAGAAGATTTCAAGAACCAACACGTAAGTCATACCCTAATTATTATTGTTTTCCTTTTAAAAGTTCCTCTTAATGAAAATTCATCTTTTTAAACATGAAGTCAATTGGGTCACTTCAACTTTGAATTTACCTACACGGGCACAGAATATAGCTACAAGTAACAAGGACTACAATTACAGGAGATGTTTCTATGGAGTCATAGGTGATTTCTTCATTCCTGTTTTAGCTCCAGATAATATCTTCATAGAACTGAATGATCATAGCAAACACCGTACTCTGAGTATGTAGACCTTCATATTGCATGTATTTCTTGTTGTAGATAGCATAGACATTAAAGATTAACATTTGATTATGGAAAATAGGAAGAGGGGCCAACCAAGGGCAAGATGGATGGATAACCTAGAAGTAATTGGTTTGACCTTAAGGAGCTGGGGTGGTAACAGTTGATAGGGAGCTCTGGCGTGGGCTGGTCCATGAGATCACAAAGAGTTGGAAACGACTGACCGAATAAACAAGAAACAAAAATTGGACATTTACATATCTTTAGCAGTAACGTCTTAAGTAATCTTTAATTTGAAAAAATACTGTTCTTGCTAGTATAGTATTGCCTTTGGCATCACTATATGCTATGTTGTGTACCAACATCCCATACTGGGTATTTTATTTGAATAGAAAGATAAGTGATACTACACTTCACACTGTCACACAACACAATCAGATTTTAGGAAGACAGTGTTTTTAATTGTCTTAAGAAATCAATCTTGCTTTTTCTGCATGACTCTTGATTGCATTCTGTCATGAAACTGGTAGAGTACAGCATTTGTGACAGATTTTAAAGGAACTCCTCCTGTGTTTGGTGCAATATAATCTAGTCATCATGACCTATCTCCCTGACATCCTTGAATGGACTCAAATGTTATCACATCTTCTGTTTCTTGTTATTTCAGTGCTGTGTTACTTGAACTGCCAGAAAAGTCCCTGCACTGCATTTTAGATGAACTTGTTTACAAGCTTTCTTCTTCCACAAATCCTGTTATAGGAAATGCAGCTATAAAACTGTTACTCTTGATCACAAAATCTGATGCCCACATTTTGATGACATTAGTTCTCCGCTACAAAGGTTTGTCGCACTGTTTGCTCGGACATGAGAAGAATTCTAGAATAATCAACATTGCCATACAGGGGAATAGGTTTTTCTGTAGTTCAGAAAGAAACAATACCATTTGTACAGTTACCAAAGGTCTTAAATGTGTATCCACTGATGAAATGAAATGATAAATAAAACAATAAATTACTATGGGTTTGATGTAGACTTCCGTAGGACTTAAATTCAACTATCACATTAAAGATCCAGCCCTTTGCTTAACATAAATTGAGAATTTTTTAAACTGTTGTTTAATATTATACTACTCCTATTTGATGTAAAAGACAATACCCTTCTCAAGGTGTAACTAATAAATAAATTAATTTTATTTATTTTTCTCAATGAGTTAATGCACTTGGCCATCCAAAGTTATTCTGAATTAGCTATTGTTAACACTGGTTTTAAATGATTTTAAAATTTTGATTCATATTTTATTGTAAAGTTGGTCTTATTGTTTATTGTTATAAGTATGATTGATTTGTATGATTTTAAAATGTTGTGAGCCACTTTAGGTCCCGTTTAGGAAGAAAAGTGAGATATAAATAAAGATTATTATTATTATTATAGCAGTAGACTTTTGTGACTTCTAAAATCACATGGTAAGAATGGTGTAGTTCTGCCAGTTTCCCTGAAATTGAGTGTCTACATCTAGCAAATTGATCATTCTGTGTAATAAAGTAAAACTTGATTTCGTCAGTGCAGTTGACTTTGGTGGGGATGACTAAAGAAGAGCAAGATAACTTAGTAAAGATTTTATATCTCAAATTCATCTTAGTTTGCTTACTTGGTACTATTTGAAATGAATATTGTACCATTTTTATTTATTCTTTTAAACAGAGCTGGGAAAAAACAAGTGCAGAAGTTTATAGCTTTTTTGAATGTAGAAAATGTCACAATATTAGAAATGTTTCAATGTTACATGTTAATAGCGTTATTTTACATGTTTTGTATGCATATATTTAGAAGTGAGAATTGAACATGTCAGATACATGTACAATTATACTAAATCCAAGGTAAAAATGGTTTGATTAGCTACAAATATACATTTGACAGCAAGTGTCGGTTTATACCATCATAGTTTGTTTGAAGAGGACTTTTGCTGTTTCAGCTTTCCTGGTTGTTCTGGTCCTTTCCTTCCACTCATGTATTTAGCTAGAAGGCTTCACTTTTGCCTACTTTTGCAGATCTAACTAATTAATTACTGAAAAATTGAGAAAATCATTCTTTTTACAAAGCAGCATATTTATCTTAGTGTTTCTTACTAATTAAGGGCTACAAACTCTTCTGAGCAAGCAATGGACTGGCAAAGGGTTTGACAAGAACCTCAATCAACTCATGGACTTGCTGTATTCTGAAAACTACAAAGTTGGCAAAACACAGGTGTGCTGGAAGTTTTACCTAGTTCCTCATGTAATGGAAGTAGTTTGTCTTGGATCTAATCCATGCATTATTTCAAAGCTTCCAGTCAACATCCTCCACTGAGTATTATAGGTCCAAGGTATCTTTCTTTCCATTGTTTCCTTTAAAAATGTCAGCTCCAGTTCTCCTCCAATATGTATGTCAGCAAACAGAACTTTGCCTTTCAAGTGACATAAAGGTTCCCAAGGCAATATCTAGATGAAAAATTCAATAAAAATTCCCATTAATCATTAAAAGAGCAGCACAAAGAAACATAAAAAATGGGTTGGCTTAGAAATGCATTGTAATGTTGGGAAGACTAAAAATACAGTGGAATAAAAAAATGTATTTGGTACTTTTCAAAAACTGAAGGCATTGAATACTTTGAATTCTACCATCAGAGAGGTGTCACATTTCTCCCAAAGACATTTCTAATGAAAAATCATTCTGGATTCAGAGAAGTAGAAGTTTGACACTGATTTTGACAACTTCCCCAAGGGAATAGCTTGAATGCGAGAAAGGCACAAGTGGAAAGCATTCGTGTTTGTAGTGCATCCAATGAAAAATATGTGCATGTGATTTTTCCCTTCTTGATTTCAGAGACTACAACAAGCAGCATGCTTAATCCAGGCAGCATGGAGAGGATTTCAGACCCGGAAAAGATTAAAGCAACTTCCGAAAGCAGTAACTACCTTGCAGAGGAATTTTAGGTAAAAATAGGGATTTGCTTTATTAACAATAAGTAGGTGCAAACATAAAAAATGTGTTAAAGTAGACAGGAAAAAATGAGATTAATGGAGAGATGTATTCGAAAGCACAGTAGCATAAAAAGAGTTCTCGAGAATTTTATTTCAGTGGTGTATTTTTATAGAATCCTAGAGCTGGAAAGGACCTAATACAATCCCCTGCCATGCAGGAATGCACAATCAAAGCCTGCTGATGGATGTCCATCAAGCTTCTCTTTAAAAACTTACAAAAAGGAGGCACCACTACACTCAAAATATATTCACCTGCAGAACAATTCTTACCTTTAGTGAAGTCCTTCCTAATGTTCAGGTGGAATGTTCTTTCTGGCAATTTGAATCCATTGCTCCATGCCCTAGTCTGCAGGATAGCAGAATATAAGCTCCCTCCTCAATATTACATCCTTTCTTATATTTAAACATAGCTATCATGTCCCCTCTCAGCCTTCTTTTCTCCAAGCTAAACATCCCCAACTCCTCAACTGCTCCTCAGAGGGCTTGGCTTCCAAATCTTTGGTCATTTCAATCGCCCTCCTCTGGACACCTTCTAGCTTGTCAGTATCTCTCTTGAATTGTGGTGCTCAGGACTGGACGCAGTGTTCCAGGTGAGGTCTAACCTAAAAAGAATAGTGTGGGACTAAAACTTTCCTTGATTTTTTCCTACCTGTTTCAGAGAAGGTTTGTTCATTCAGTGCAGAATTGTTTCCCTTAGCATGTCTGTTAGATTTTATTTCTCATTACTTATCAAATACAAAATTGTTCCCCAGTTCTGATGTTTCTTTTCATCCATTAAATTATTCAAATTTTGTTATGATATTGAATTAGGCCACATGCAATTTTCTTTTTGCTACTGAATTATATTTTTGATTACAGAATTTTAGAGGGTTTTAGTGGGTTGGTTCTAAATTTTAGAACCCTGGCCTATAATAGAAACATATAGAGAGGTTTTAATAAGCAATTATTTGAAAAATCCATTAGAGGGCGGGCTTTGTACATATAGGAATACAGCTTGCAGAACACTCTGGTTAAATCAGAAGAATTATAAGCCTCACTGCTGACACAAAATCAGATCCACATATATTTGTATAGAATAATGTACATGATCGCAACTGTGGATGTATGCATTCCCATCAGTATTTTTTTCTATGTGAAAATAGCCAACCATTTTCAGTATGTAAGCTGTATTCAATGTCGATGCCTGAATGTATAACTGTTTTCATTGTGTAACAAAGACACAATCTCAAAAAAAAATCTAGAAATGTGAATTTCTTCTTTAAAGATAGCGTATATACTCGAGTATAAGCCGACCCGAATACAAAAAACTGGAAAAGTGTATTGACTCAAGTATAACCCAAGGGTAGAAAATGCAGCAGCTACTGATAAATTTCAAAATAAAAATAGATATCAATAAAATTATAGTAATCGAGGCATCAGTAGGCAAAATGTTTTTGAATATTTAAGTAAAACTGTAATTTAAGATAAGACTTTCCAACTCTGATTAAATCATTATTCTAACTTTCTTCAATGTAAATGTGCCTATGTATCCTTCCAATAATCACCATCATTTATATTAACTATACATTTTGGGGGAAATGCTGTGTGTATATGAATAAGGAAAAGGGGGAAAGACTGGCGTGGGAAGGGGGTGGGAAAGAAGGACTGGAAATATGAAAACATTGGAATGGGAAGGGGCGATTGAAAAAGTGGGTAAATGAGGTGGAAAAGGGGTGGCTTGAAAAGTAGAACAGATTGGGTCGGAAGGGGGCAACTGGGGAAGGGGAATAACTGAGGTGTGAAAGGGGGTGGGGAGGTGGAAACTGAGAAAGGTTGGCATAGAAAGGGGACCTGGAAAAGTGGGAAAGACCCCAGTCTAGAGTGGTAAGGGGGGAATTTCTTTCCCTCCTTCTTTTTCCTTTTTTTTCTTCTCTTCCATTTCTTCTTTTCCATCTTTCTTTTTCCCCTAACTTCCCTCCCACCTCCTTTCCTTCCTCCCTCCCTTTTTTTGCTCATTCCCTCCCCTCTTTTCCTTCCTTCCTTCTCCCATTCCTTTCTTCTTTCTCTCCTACTGCCAACACTCCATGCCAACACAATAGGGAGATAGTGCTTCTGAGGAGCTACCACCTTTGCAAAGGAGAAGGTCAGCTCCAATGTGCCCCTTTCTCTCCCACTTTGGGGACCCGGACCACTGAGTCAAGGAAGACAGGCATTCGAGAGAGAGGAGAGAGCTGGGTTGCTGTGCAGGGAGGTGAGGGTCCTAGCGAGAAGGCGTAGGGCTGTAAGGTGGGTTTCTTTCAGCCTCACGCATTCCCACCAGGACTCTCACTCGACTATAAGCCAAAGGGGTCTTTTTCAGCCCTAAAAAAGATCTGAAAAACTAGGCTTATACTTGAGTATATATATATTGCTTTCTTTTTTTAACTCGAAGAGATCGATTCTTTTTTCCCCATTTTTACCTGTTTTTGTGAAAACATCTGTTGCTAATAAAATACATTTGTTGTCTATTTTAACGCTCCATAGTCTAATTGCTGACCTTGTTGCAAAAGCAACAGTGCCTGAATTAAGAGTTAGATTTTGGTTTTTGGGTCATACACTCTCCATTCTAGCGGGAATGAACTGGAGATAACTTTTTGCCTTTTAATAATAAGGTTTAAATATTCTGTGAAGCCAATTGTATATTAGAAGCTACTAGAAAACCTAACCAAGTTTTACTAAACCAAAAAAGAACTACCTGATGGAGCAACCAGTTTAATATTGGATCAGACTATAGCAAAAGGCCTTGCATTCTTTTAGAAGTCTTTAAGCCAGTGGTTCTCAATCTGTGGGCCCCCACATGTTTTGGCCTTCAACTTCCAGAAATCCTAACAGCTGTTAAACTGGCTGGGATTTCTGGGAGTTGTGGGCCAAATCATCTGGGGACCCACAGGTTGAGAACCACTGCTTTAAACAGAGGCTGATGAACCACTTATTTGGGATGTTGTAGTAGTGGATTACTGCCTTAGTAGGAGGTTGGACTAGATGGTATTTTAAGATCCTTGCGGTTTGATGGACAGCAATAATTCCATAGCAGGAATCATAGCAGGAACATTCCACAATTTCTCCCAGATTTCTGACTTCATTATATCGCTGTGTCCATAGTAGTTAACATCAGAGACCAGTTTCATTGTGAAACTCAAAGCCTTCAGTAATTACTAACCCTTTCTTGTAGAGCTAAACGAGAACAGAAGTTGCAAGATTTAAGAAAACAGAAAGAGGAGGAGGACCTCCACCAACAACTTCATCTTCAGAGACATAGAGCCATGAGGCTTTTTCATGAACGGCAGCTTACAATGTTGGAAATAGTCCATGCAGGTATAAGGTGCTTGGGTAACACAAAGTAATTTTTTTCATATAGAAATCCATTCTGTTTTGTTCTGCCTATTCTGTTTCCTTAGCTATCAATAGTTGGTGAAGAAAAGGGCTTCTCTTACATCTTGAGTGAGTTATTGGGCAGCAGAACTCCCTGCTGCATCTCCCAAAACATATTTTCCAAAACATTTGCTCAAATGTCCCTTTGTGCCCTTAGTAGGCATGGGGGCAATTTCACCTGTTTTTCCTCTCTAGAACAGGCCACTTGCTGTTTGGCGGTTGGTGGGGGAACCTCTCCTGGGCCCAAAAGAACGTATAGAATCCAAAAATATATCCTTGGAGCAAAAAAGAGAGTATTTAAACAATTTCAGGACTTTAGCCCTTGCGGTCTGCTTGTAGGCCATACTTTTCCTACATCTTCCTTAAATGGTCCAGAATCTTATAACAGATGCATCAACTAAATCAACATCTTGAAGAAAATGAAGAGATGTGTAGCTTATATCTAGAAATGTCTGAAAAACAAATATACAACTCAGTGTTTTCAGTATTTCTTGGTTTTCTCAGGTACATATCCCAAAAAGAGGACTAGAAACCACATCTGTTTACTTGTTCCTTTGCTCATTCTCTGTTGAGTTTTCTTCTGGGGGGACAAGAAAAGGTGAACTGAAAAACCCTTGTATAAAAGGGAAGAATTATTTTTCTCTGGTGCAGTTTCTTATATCTGTTTGCTTCAGTACATGGTAGTCGAGGCCTTATGGACCCGTGTCTGAAAGGAAATCTTACTGAAAGTCCATTGCTTTGCCCAAAAAAGCTGTATTTCCAAACAATGTTCCGTAACCTCATCTGAGTGACAGTGGAATGTGATGTTCCCCAAATTGCCCTAGCGTCCACCACCCTCCAAAAAATATCCGGATGTTGATTAAGAAAGATCTGTGGTTTGCTGTCCCAGCTAAACTATCTGTGTCAACACCTTTTTCTGTCTTCCTTTTGAGTAATGAAGCCTGGGTCAGTTCTGCTTAAATATGCACTGTCTTATCTCTTTGTCTTCTAGGTCAGGTAGATAAGCATATCCTAGAAATAAAAGAGAAATCAGCCTTAACAATCCAAAGGTATTGGAGAGCATTTAAGGCAAGAAGAAATTTTCAGTGTCAAAAAAAATCTCTTCAACAATATAAGGCAGCTGTCATCCTTCAGAGAGCAGTGAGTATTCAAACTAGGTGTTATTGTAAGACAGAAATATTCTAGGTTAGTATAATTGTTTAACTTATAAATGTTTTTAAACTGCTTTAAAAATTAAAGAATGATAATTCTGAAACCTGAAAAATTCAAACAATTGTAGACCGTGGAGTGGACAGTGCCACCCTAGAAACCTTTCCAGTCCTTTTTGCCAACTTATCTAACTATTCTTCTCTCCCATAAGGTTCTAGAGGCCAAGATAAGTTGCTCTTGCGGAAAAAAATATTTTCTAGCCAAACTGATTCTTATCAATTTTCCTACCTGAAGTGGAGAAATTGCCATTTATGTTTATATGCCTTTTTGATAGTGGCAGTGGTTTGATACTTACAGCATGTACCTGAAAACAAGATGTTGTATTATCTTTTTATTCAATGTGGCTGGAAAATGAAAAGAAAAAACAAAGGAAAAGACTGAAGAGTACAGTAGTAGAATAGAATCAGTGTCCATCTTCTCACTCAGTACTTGTTAATAGCCTTGAGCCAAATAACTTAATGTCTTTGTTCAAACTCAAAACACTAAACAGAGGTACAATCTTAGGGTTGTGTTATGAGACACATGCTAAGAATATATTTTTAAGTAAGTTGGACTTTAAAGGAGTTGCTGAGAGTCTGTTCCTGAAAGGGATTCATCAGAAATACCTTTTTCTAGAACCATTTGGATATGAAAATTCGGATCCTCTAAATCAGAGCTTTCCAAACATTTCATGTTGGTGACACACTTTTTAAACATTGATCCTTTTACAACATAGTAATTCCATTTTACTAGCAAACTTTTGGTTAAATCAACCCCTGATAAGATATACAGCCACATATATCAGTCGTAATAACAAAATGTATGGGGACACAACAAATCTCAGGAGAACCTTTCATTTATATTTTAACAATACATGATTTATAGCTGATTTCACCTAGACCAGTGGTTCCCAACCAGTGGTCCCCAAGAACTAAAATATGGTTCTGCGGCCTCACCGTTACTCACTGTTACGACACCATTGCAACAAAAGCAAACCCTCTTATATTGCCAAAGCGACAGTTACGTCAGGAGAGGCTGACTACCCATGAAAGGCGTGACAAGAAGCCTCCTGACTGCTGCTTCTCCTACTCCCCCCTCCCCCTGAGCAGAGCCATTCCATGTGGTACCTGGAAGTGGGGGCATCTTGCTGTATTCATTTTTAGACCTGTTCCTGAGGTCGTTTTGGATGCTGATGCAGAAAATTGCATTGGATAGACCACATCTGCTCAATTATTAAATATAGTTTTCTTTGGATGAGCAGATGAGAACTATTAGATGGCATATGTTCTGCATCAGAAACTAGAGCTGATGTGGTCTAACCAATTCAATTCTCTGTATCAGTACCCTAAATAACCAAACCAAATTTAAAGTTGACCAAAAACTGATTCGTAATCTTTTTGATACTAATGTTGTAGAGTTGTACCTGGCTAAAGTGGTCCCTGATCTAGAGATCCTTGGTCAAAAAAAAGGTTGGGAACCAGTGACCTAGACTCTGAGATTTCTTGTTACGTTCGCATGACACACCTACATGGGATTGTGGCGCAGCTGGCTGAGTGTCAGCTGCATTAAGATCACTCTGACCAAAAAGTCATGAGTTCGAAGCCAGCCCGGGTTGGAGTAGGTTTCCAACCAATTGTGTAGCCTGTTGTCAACCTTTGCAACCCGAAAGACAGTTGCATCTGTCAAGTAGAAAATTAGGTACCAACTTAAAGTGTGGGGAGGCTAAATTAACTAATTTATGAGGCCATAAAAAAGACTCCAGCAAAGCACTCCAGCAAAAAAGCATGCGGGGAATGCGGAAGTACTTCATCAGTGTCGCAGATGGACGATGAAAGCGACAGCTCCCCTGGCGGCCAGAAAAAGTTAAATAGCCTCTGTGTATTTGTGTATATGTTGTATGTTAAAATTGGCATTGAATGTTTGCCATATATGTGTACACCGTAATCCGCCCTGAGTCCCCTGTGGGGTGAGAAGGGCGGAATATAAAAGCTGTAAATAATAATAATAATAAATACATGCTGCAGCTGATACATTAACGTGTCACATAACACAGTTTGGAAAGTTGTGGTCTCGATTGTTTTCCCTGCCTCTTTTATCTATGTTTCTGCAGGTGCTTAGATTTTTGGAAAAGCAAAGGAAAAAAAGGGCCTATTCTTTCTGGAAACAGCCCAGGTCCCTCTCTGATGAAGAGAGATTATCCCTGCAGCAAAAAGTGGATGACCACATCCGACTGCACCCAGTACGTCTTCTCTGTCTCCCTACTCACAGGACATTCTTTCCTTATCAGTTTGTTGAGGGACCCTGTACATTGCATAGGATACTAGACAGATACATAGTTTATACCTGTCATTGTCTGGATCTGTGTCAGTTATTATATCACCTCTGATGATTGTAGCCTGTAAGACACCTAGTGTTCTAGTGCCACACATTGCAAACAAACGCAATAGTTGTGATGTTCAGTCAAGCTCCTTCCCAGGAAGCTTGTTTGCCATTACTGATATTCTCATTAGATGTTTTTAAATATCGTAGTAAGGTCAATTTCTTTTTAAAAATCTCATTTATTGTGAGTAAGTCCGAGTGTTAATGCTTGTTAAGGCCGAGTGTTAATGCTTGCAATCTAATCATTCCTTTTGCAGACTTTCCCTTCATGATATAGTTATCATGCCATTTGAAACTTGTAATTCTGGTCTATCTCTCACCACAGAAGCAGATGAGTTAACAAACTGGTTGGTTTTTTTCTGTGAAGAGACAAGAAGAAACCATGCCTTAGGATAAGTACATCATAGATGGCAAATCCATGGTTTTCTTAACCAATAGGGCAGTTTGCACTAGCATGCTGCATGCAAAATATAATCCAGGTTTTCCCTAGAATTCTACCTTACTGTTGTGGACAAACTCATGTACTGAAGATACCTGAGAAGTGCAAGCCATCTGGGAATGCTAGTTGACACCCACAACTGTACCACTTTAGCAATGCAGTCATTCTCCCACCTTCACAGGATTTTCATTTGTAGTTTTGATTATCCATGAGCTTGTACTGCCTGTCCACCTTTTGAAGTTCACATGAGTCTCTCAAATGAAATGCAGCGATACAGAATGGGGAATGCCTGGCTCAACAGTAGTACGTACATATGAAAAAGATCTTTGTGTCCTCATGGACAAGTTAAAAATGAGCCAACAATGTGATGCAGCAGCTAAAAAGTGTCTAGATCCAGGGAAGTCATGCTTCCCCTCTCTTCTGGCTTGGTCAGACCACACCTGGAATACTGTGTCCAGTTCTTGGCACCGATTGAAGGGAGATGTTGACAAGCTGGAATGTGTCCAGAGGAAGGTGACTAAATGATCAACCGTCTGGAGAACAAGCCCTATGAGGAGCGGCTTAAAGAGCTGGCCATGTTTAGCCTGCAGAAAAGAAGGCTGAGAGGAGACATGATGGCCATTTATAAATATTTGAGGGGAAGTCATAGGGAGGAGGGAGCTAGCTTGTTTTCCACTCACCTGGAAACCAGGATGCAGAACAATGGCTTCCAACTACAGGAAAGGATTTTCCATCTGAACATTGGGAAAAACTTCCTAACTGTGAGAGTTATTCAGCAGTGGAACTCTCTAACCCGAGGTGTGGTGAAGGCTGGATGACCATCTGTTGGGGGTGCTTTGAAAGTGATTTTCCTGCTTCTTGGCAGGAGATTGGACTGGATGGCTCACAAAGTCTCGTCCAACTCTATGATTCTATTATTCTAAGTGGAGGGAGGCGTCTCGCACTGTACCTGACTCCCAAACATGGTGCTACCATATGAACCTTCACCTAGCCAGCCTGTTCTCTGGAGATAAATGGGAGAAGGGGAGCTATTGGGGAAGCATACATGCCATGTGCTTCTGTTTCTCCTGGTACCTTCCTCCCTTTGCCCAGCGAAAGCAGACACAGCATGCAGGAGGAGGAGGAGCCTGCTTGTCTCTTCCCCAGCCTTGTAGATCTGGCTCCTCTTTCTGTGTGCCATGAATCTCCAATTCAGCCAGGCAAAGGAAGGAGGATAACAAGTGAACAGAAATATGCAGGACACAGGGAGAGGAGGAGGAACTGGATCTGCAAAGTAAGTGAGATGGCAGTTTTGCGCAGGGCTGGTTCCTCCTCTTTCTGCGTGGTGTGTATTTGTTCCCCCTACCTTCCTTTGCCGAGGAAAAACAGGAAGATGAGCTGGATCCATGGGGTTAGTGAAGTGGCATGCAGGGCCAGCTCCTACTCTTACTCTGTGCCAATTTAAACATGTTTTATGAAAATCCTCAAATGTTAATTACCAGTCCACCAAACACCCCTATGCTGAAGTGCCAAATCTGATGCCATAGGCTGTGGTGCTAAGAGCTTAATTTTTACCAAAAACTTTTTGGAGCTTGAAAAGTGGCTTGGAAATGGGCTGTAAGAGTGATGATGAAATGAATGGGTCCTGAAAGTATTGATGGCTGTACAATAACACTTCCAAATATTGAAAAATTATAATCAGAATGCAGCCTTTATTAGTTCTACATTCTTTTCCCAATATAACAAGAACTGCATAAAATGTGTGGTTTATATAAACTCAGAAAGTACCATGAATATACTCTTCATTTAGCCTCAGAAACAGAAGATGTTGGGGTTACTTGGGGCTTTTTTATCATTAATGTAATAATACGAATTTGCTTCTTCCTGAATCCTAATTAGGAAACTAAATTTATTCAGTGATGGATTGATAGCTTCAGGGAGAAAACACAGGAAGAACCACAGTTATTAGATTTACAAGTATCCAAGGAATGCAAATGTTATGCTTCAGACATCCACAAAGGTTTGAAGCTGATAACAGCTAACAGTGACAGGCACCATCATTTTTCTCCAGGCTTCTGAGATGTCAGAAGAAATGAGCAGGGAACTTCATCATCAAGCCCAGGAAAACCTGGCGAAGTATTTGCTGAGACGAAGCCAAGACCACAAGGCAGAACAGCACCGACAGGCTTTGCTAGCCCAGGTCCATACAGATCTGGATCAGCTGATGTGTATGTGTCCACCTCGCTTTTTTATTGTTGTGTTCGCGTCTTCCTTCCATGTGGCAAAATGTGAAGGAATATCAGAATCAATTTTTACTCCTTTAATGTCACAGTTGTTTGAGCTGTAGCCTTTCTGAAAACATTTGTGAACCATAAACCTAGTTTAGTTTCTTTCAAGAGAGAAAAAGTGGGATATAAAATCCTTTAAAATCTTTCTGGTTTGTTTATTTATTTATTTTGTGCCAAAAGCATTGCATAAAAACAGGTACTGTATAAAACTGATAAAATAGAGGAAGCACAAGCAGTTAAATAATTTTAGACCAAAAATGGACAACAGCGATCGCATTGAATGTAGCTTTAAACAGTTCTTCCTCTGTGCATGAGGCAGGGCATTGTGGGCAAGCATAAAGATGCGGAGTTGTTTGCTTAGCTCCACAGCCACACAAGGTGGAGGACTCTTCTACGTAGTACTATTTTTGCCAGGTTGTCTTTTGATCTGCCCACTCCACTTCTGTCTGTTCTGGGACTTCTAAGTTGCCCACTCTTGGTTTGCCCCTGGAGGAAGACCCTCGTGGGTGGGGGGTGGGTATTCATTTGGGATTTTCTGGTTTAGCTGCCCAGAGGTATACTCTTGCTGTTACTAAGGGAACGCTAAGAGGAATGGCAGTTCTCATGAAATTTTTCCTTGATTTGAGTCTACTGGGAGTAGGCTGATAGCTATGCAGTGATGTTACTGGTCAAAAGTGCTTAGCCATGAAAATCTATGTAAGACATGCTGTGTCAGACTGAAGGCCTATCTAGTCCAGCCAGACTCTTGGCCAGTCATATGCTGGCCAATCATATGCTTGGCCAGTCATATGCTAGCCAGTCATATGCTGGCATCAGGAACATGTGCCAATAGTATCTTTCCATTCCTGTTTCCCAGCAATGGGTAAACATATATATCTGATACAGGAAACTATCAATATTAGTTTACACCCTCAAGGAATTTCTTTATTCCTTCTTTAAAGCCATCCAGTTGGTGGCTATCACTACACTTTGTAGCAAGTTCTAATCTGTGTATGCTGTGAAGAAGGGGTCTTTTTACTGTCCCCCTGTATCTCCCCCATTAATTTTAAAACTAACAAACAAAAACACTTCTATCATCAATCATGTCTACTGATCTATTTGTTCATGGAGGCTGGGTTTTGAAACACGGTGAAAAGAAAATTACAAAAGTTCATACTTGGAATGAGAAAAATGAAAACTATAGTCAACTCTCCTCATGCCAGGAAAAATGGAACAGAGGAAAAATCTGACCTTGGTGTTTTGGGTTTTATGAGCTCAGGTTTGCTCTGTCCCCTCTCAAATATCTTTTGGCATATCCAAGGTTTAAAGCTTTTATTTCTATTTTTTTCTCACCAACACTTACCCTTATATCTCACCCCAGGCCAAGTGTAATTAGGTCCAACTATGACTTATGTAGGCCCCCTCGTGGCACAGCGGGTTAAACTACTTAGCTGCTGAACTTGCTGACTGAAAGGCTGGTGGTTCAGATCCCGGGAGCGGCGTAAGCTCCTGTTGTTAGGCCCAGTTTCTGCCAACCTAGCAATTTGAAAACTTGCAAATATGAGTAGATCAATAGGCACTGCTTCTGCGGGTACCTATGGATACCCGCATGCCAGCCACATGACCTTGGAGGTACCTACAGACAATGCTGGCTCTTCGGCTTAGAGATGGAGATGAGCACTACCCCCCAGAATCGGGCATGACTAGACTTAATGTCAAGGGGGAAAAATACCTGTATTTATGACTTATGTGTCAATACATGTATTTATGTGATATCAGATGTGGCTGCATTCGGAGGGGGGGGGGGTTGGGTGAAGAGAGATTGTATGCAAATAAGTTAATAAACTAATTAACATTCCCTACACAATGCTGCTAGTGTTATTTTAGAACACGTTCAATGCCCACTATATCATACAAAAGGAGCTGTGGAATAGTAGGCTTCTTTTCCAGGTTTGACATTGTCTCCAATATGAACATAGAAGTTAGGGCCAGTGTTGAGACCCTTTGTAAAAACAAGTGTTCTGATAAATACTATATTCATGAGCTACATGTGACATACAAATCCCTGAAGAAAAAACTGATGTCATTGGATGTTGGAGTGATCGACCTAATTTCCTATAGAAAACCATGTAATTTTTCTCTTTTGTTGCATAGGTGCAGCAAGTCTCAAAGAATCTACTGTGAAAGATCTGAATGATTTTATGAGTAGATCTGGTCCTGTGGTAGCTAAAGCCAAACAGTCCCACATCACCATGTTAAAATACACGCAATGGCCTTGGTGGAAGAAGATTGGAGAAGAAGTGTTTGATGAAGATGCGGTCTCAGAAGATCTACTGAGTGCTGAATTGGGAGCTTTGTTCATTGGAGGAAGTAAAACATAATTGGGAGAGAAGAAAAGAAATTGTAGCTAATACCAATGCGATTCTGCATTATGTTATCTTCAGAGGACCTTATCCCAAGAAATTATAGGATGCAGTTCCTACAACACTGTAGGATGAAGTACATAATTTTACAAATAGTTCAGTTTTTATAAAATGGGTTTGTACTTTGCCAAATACAAATAATATAGCTGTTAAGTTTGTAAATGAGAGCTCTACAGTACAGATACAGAGGTTTACAAACAAATCTATTTTTCAATTGAACTAACCAGAAAGTGTTAAAAACCTGTGTAATTCTGTTCATTAAAGTAGGATTCTCAGTATGATCTTATATAAATAGAGGCTGAATATTAAGAATGGACAAGGAAATATGTATAGGGCAGCAACCATGGGAAACTATATTTTAAATGAGATGGGAAGGAACAGTTTCCGAGTAAGAAGCATCAGTTAGTGAGACTTTATCGTAAACATTATCGTAAACTCACTCTTGTTAAAGTCTTTTGAGTAATCCTCTTAAAACATCCACAATTCTAAATGTGTTGTTTTAGTGAATTAGCATATATTGCTCTATTCTGTTAGATTTGCTGAAATAAATAGGATTAAATAGTTTGAATAATTGGTGAGTTGAATCATATATGTTCCTGGTACTATTTGTGTTTTTGTTATAGGCCTTCATTCTGGGCTATGATAAGATTGTATAGCTCTCATAGGCAGAATAAAACACAGGAATATTGATGATCAATTCAGACCTTATAGTGTCAGGTTTAAACATTCATACAACTTTAAATATATGTGTCAAGCAATCAAAGATATACAAATATATTGTATATAACCTTTCAGAATTTTCATAGCACCATTGCTCTGTAAGCAGCTAAAACAGGGGTAGGGATGGCCATCTTCTGGATGTTGCTGGATTGCAATTCCCAGCATCCCAAGCCTGCATGGGGAACGCTAGATGTTGCAGTTTATCATCTGAAAGACTGCACAATTATCCAGTTTGAGAAAAGCTATGAGATTCTCAGATCATTCTAGGCAATAAGCACTCACTAAGGTACATCTCCTGTTTCTCTGCAGTATTTCAGGTGAAATCAGGTTAATTGAATGGTGCAACCAAATTCCATTGCAGCTTCCCTAACCTTACCCTACCCCACCCCAAATGTAACTCCTTTTCCTATCTGATTGGTGCTGCACTAGCTTTGATACTACATAACCACTTTCCCATGCTATCTATGACACACTCATTTGATCTACCTTTGCTAAATAAAATTTTCAGCAGACAACACATAGTCAACAAAGCTATCTTTCTAAAAGACTAGGTATGTGACCAGAATTATATTTACAGTATTTTCACTGTAAGGAGATTGTAGGCAAAAGTAGGGAAAAGTCACATGCCTTTTTAAATAAAGTAGACTTACAGTCTGAATCTAACATTTGTACAGCAGTTGGGATTTTGGTGGGACATAACTGCAAACGAATTTTAATGAAATTGGAACAATATTGGCTGGGACTTTGCAGCTTCAAGCACCAATATCGGTAAATATTTGTTTTTGTTTTTTAGTTAAAAATTACCGGAAGATAGGGCAGGGATAGCTGTTACAAGTAGCAACATTCTGACATACTTTGTGTGTCCTCAAATCGCTTGTTGATTAAATGTGACCTGATGAATTTCATAGGGTTTTCTTAGGCAAGGAACACCCAGGGGTGGTTTTGCTTGTTTCTTCTTCTGAAATATAACCAACAGCACCTGGTATTTGTTGGTAGCTTCTCATCTAGATGCTAACCAGTGCTGACACTGCTTAGCTTCCAAAATCAAACATGATCTGGTGCCTTTAAGGGTAATTAGACTGTAATTTACTTACCACCATTTATGCCATATATGTGCCAAATAGTATTCCAAGTTTTCTACTACTAAATAAACTTCACACCACTTCATATTCCAGATACACAGCAAACACCCATTAAAAGCAGCATAACATTACTCAACAACAGCCTCGAAGCACCTAGATTTTGTCTAGAATTTGTGAACGCATTCTGAGAACTGGCTGGATTAAGACCTCAAGCAGACCTGGTGCTCACTCTGTCCTTTTTTGGGGGCTCTTTCAACTTCTATAATCTCAGTTGATTTCCTCCCTTGTCATGGCCTGTGCACCACATAGACTGGGAACTTTTCCTTTATGAATCTTTGCTAAAAGTGCAGTGCTTTATGTTCAACTCTTCATAATTATCCTCATTATAGTGTCTTTTTATCATGGGAAAATGTTCACAAAGATGCCCTGCATAATGCATTTCATCTAAAGAAATGAGCCTCCTGGCCTGTGTCAAATAGCTGGTGAATTATAAAACTGTCTTACCAAAAGGCTGTTCATTGTCATGCTAATAGCCTTTACCATTTAACATCATTGAACTAGATTATAGACTCCTCCCTTGTAATCTGCAGGTTTCTGGATAATGGAATTTACAATTTTAACTCCCTCTTCAGCAACTGATAAAAATATTCAAGTGTCAAAGGAGTTCATCTTGTCCATTGTGCTCTGCGTCATTTACAGAGGAGGAATTGTTGGAGGCTGCAGACAATGCCATTGCTGTTGCCCGTTTTTGGTCAAAAGATGTTTAGCCACCTGCATACCTTCTATTTTATCAGTTTTATACTAATTTATGCAATGCTTTTGATACGAAATAACCTTACATAACCATTTATAAATATGAGACTATTCTTCTAAGATGTGCATTCCCTACTGCCAAGTAATGTTTGGAGTATCTTGCTCATATAAATTTAATCACTCAAAAGACAAATGTCAAATCAGTCTAGGTTTAAATATGCACATGGTTCTTGGAATTAGTACCAGCATCTTGCCTTTGGATCACTACAAAATTCCTTAATACAGAGTTCCAAGTATATCTGTTATACAGTTTATATATTTTATGTCCAATTAATCTAGCAAATATATTTTTCTTGAGTCCAAATTTGACATCAAGAGGCTGGGAAAAACAATGACCAAGAATATGCTAGAGATGTCCCAATCCTGTGGTGACTGCCGAAGTCTTAGGGCCATTGCATTTCACTAGCCAAGAGTGAAATGATTTGTTAGAAGGGAGACATTCCCTGGTTGTTCAATAAGCATACTGTTCTGCTGAGGATAGGCTTTGGACGAACTGTTGTGAGAGATCTGCTCAATGCAAATATAACATGCCTGTATAAAGAAATGGGCACGTGCATGCTATAAATTGTCTGATGATAAACTTGCAAATATATTATTTAAGTTGCTTGGAGAGAATTGTAGTCAAGTTAGTGATTGACTTTGGCACCGGTAATTGTAAGGTGTTGGAAACCACATAAGGGCATCTAGATAGAAGGTAAAATTCCAGGGTGTTGGAAATGGCTTTGTCTGAAATGCTGCCTGTTCTAAACAGAAGAGGTATATAGATTGTAATGTTGAGAATGCTTAATAGATAGGTGATATGGTTTCATAAGGTGGAAGGATTCAGATTTGTTGAACATATGGATATTCTTAGATATGAGATGGGCTTGATCTGAATTAGAATAGAACCAAACTGCTATCTTTTGAATGTTTAAAAGATAGAAGAGCATCTTCCAAATGGAAGCCTTGGGGATCAGCCATCAAAAGCTAGGAAGCACATGTGGCTAGGTCTAATCGTCCCTGGGGATATTGGTGAACATGTTCTGATTGCCCACATGGAGGAGAGTAGAAATGAAATCTTGAGCATGCTTTGAACATGATAATCAGTCAAAGACAGGTAAAGGCCAAAGCAGAAAATGTATGCACTGCAGACACCTATATAGTGTCCCCAAAGTGATTTATTACTGGATACATGTTACCTCCTTATCAAAATGTTCCAGTTGAGACTGAAATCAGGGAGCATGCACAGAAGGATGTGCTACAGCAACTGCCAGCATAAATTATGCATTGACAATCAGTGTATGTTTTAGTCATGACAAAGAGAAAAAATACATAACCTTATAACTGTGTTTTAGACAAGTTTACCATGGAACTAACTGAGAAGAGTCAACTCTGGATAAAATCCTAACTGATGCCTATCAGATCTATTGGGAGAAAAGTACTGTATATGGTTGAACAATTTCAAACTGTGGTCGCCATGTCACTGGGAACCTGCTACAAGGTTCAGTACCTTGAATAGCCCTTAAAACGTTCAGACTGAAACCTAGACCAGATTTACTTCACTACTGATACGGAAGCTACAAGTTGCTCCTGACAACCAGAGTACTATCCAATCTAATGTATACATAATTGGGAAAGTGTGAGGGGAATTCCAATATAATCCTATTTAGCTTCAAAAGAGGAAACATTTGAAATTAGGGGAAGTGTAAACAAGTGTTAAAAAATAGATGCTCAGCTAGAATGCATATTATAGGTGATTAAAGTTGGTGTACGTTCAAGAAATCATCAACACAATTACGAACATAGGAGAGAGATGAGGTATGTCTACATAGGAGAACTTTATGAGGAGAGCCAAATGTGTCACAAATTTGCAAAACAATATGCAATAAGAATGAACAATTGATGTTTCACTACATGCTTTAATGTTGTATTTGAGCCTAGTTTCCAGTATTAGATTCAAGTAGGACTGAAGTGGAGAAGAGATTAACTCTGAAGTGAAATTGGGGGACAGAAACAGTACAGGGAAGTTGAAATTTCTCAGTCCACACCCCTCTTAATATTAGAATTGCATCTTCTTCCAAAGAAGTGGTTCTCAACCTGCGAGTCCCCAGGTGTTTTGGTCTACAACTCCCAGAAATCCCAGCTACTTTACCAGCTGTTAGGATTCTGGGCGTTGAAGACCAAAACATCTGGGGACCCACAGGTTGAGAACCACTGCCTTATAGATTGAATAACGATGATAATAACAACTCTGTGGCGCAAATTATTCATTGGAACTTATGTTCAGATTAAGTTGAATGTGTTTATTGATGGATTTTAACATGCAAGAGTTTCAGCTGCCTTATTTGTGCTATTTTTTCCACTGCCTAGATCAACAGGGAGGGGCAGGTGAGAAATACATAATATTGTCATTGCAAGCTCCCTACACAAAAGCAGGGTCTCTGCTTTAACAGACTTGGAGGTGGAGTGAGAGACTGTTACATTTTTACAGCAGTCTAATGGCATTGTGTAGCTGGGGATATTTTCTCAATACATGTTGTGGTTCAGCAACAGCATGATGGGACTGATGGGACTGAGAGTGCAAGTGGGCATGATGGGAATGGGAATACAGATGCAGGTGTGGGATTTCAGATTTCTCAGTTTTCTCAGCCACAGTCTGTAGCTGGAGAGAAACCCTTGTTCTCATGGGAACGGAATGTGGCTGATAACACACTCGGTGAAGGTCGGAGTGAGCCGCAGGTGTTAAGGAGAAGTTTACGGATTGCGGCCAAATCTTGAGGCCATCTGCTGGTGGGAAAACTGCTCGTTAGCTGTTCTGTTTAATGTTCATGTTTTGATGTTTTACCTATAAATGAGTTCCTTGGGAGCTGATTCAGTGTCAGTTTCAACTTCGCAATATGGATCGCTGTGCCTTTGGCTCCAGGGCTCGGGCCTTGGGGGTTGCCTGCTTCTTGTAACCTCATGCTATTTCCTGGAT